TAACACTAAATCTCATATTTTCTGATCTTTGTGTGTATTTTGGAACAGAATTTAATTAAATTGAACTGCCTTCCACCGCGGTTCAAACTTTATCATCGTTTCGCATCCTTCCTTAATCATTAACTTTGAATCGGTCGTTCAAAGGAATTGAGCATTTGCCAAAATTTTCTAATTCCTACAAATTTGATATTTCATACTTAGATTATTTGATCTAACAGAATTCATAGTTTAAAATATATAAGGTCTACATCATTAGGTTGCAAAGACATATATGGGATTAGAAAATCCGAGTTTGTGGGAAAGACTCAATTTATTTGAACCGGCATTTGAAAGTTTAGCGATTTAGCTCAAATTCATTAAATTCGTTCCCTTAAACCTGACATCACGTTCTTGAATAATAATTTGTCTCTTGCCTCAACGCCACCTAAGTTCTTGAGCATTTTATATGTGATATCGTCCGGAACTTCTGATTTATCTACATCTAGAGATTTCATGTTAGCCCTGAGAGTTCTTTAGGTTAAACCTCATTAATCATGATACGAGTGTTGCTGTGGGAAAAGATTTTATCTGTTATGCAAAGCTACTCCTCACTAACCTGCTCATAATTGATCTTAATCTTAATTATCATAATACGGAAATAAGAAACAGATTTGAAAATTACTCCGACCAAAGAGTTTATTTTGACAGGACTCATTTTAACACTACATTTATTAAAGTTTTCATAGTTTTCAAATATATAGTGTTATATATTTTCCTCTGGTACATGTGTTAGGATAAGAGACAAGGATGAATCTAGGAAGTAGAACTGTGGATACTTAATATCATTTGTAAAGGATAATGATAGAAAATCTGTGGCTAATGTAGCGAATCTGCCAATTCTGGTGTACACACTCATTATTCTCTACTCCCCACCACTTTCTTTACTAGTTAAACTTATCTTGTATTCACACATGCAATCTTTACAGTGCATTTTTCTACTTTAATAAAAAGTAAAAATCAAAATGAAATAAAAAATTTCAAAAATGTTACGACTAAAATGTCATACATTTTTTACAACCTTTCTTTAAATTTTTGGTTTAAGATATTTAGACTTTGCATTGAGAGCAAGTTTTTTAGTTGATCATTTAATTTCCAAACCTCTCTTAAGCAACATTAAGATACAGAATATTATTATGCTTAGTGTTGGCATCTACCCATGTAAAATTTTATCTGCATTTATTTTACTTGTTTCTTGTTTTTGTTTCTTTGCTTGTTATATCACTTTATTATAAAATCAAGCGTTCAACTGAGATTTTGCCGCAAATTCAAATTTTTCTAATTTCTATATCTTTGCAACTTGATGATGCAAACCTATGATATTTCAAACTTAAATTATTCGATTTAACAGAAATAAATAGTTTACAATATCATTGATATTGGGTTTTAAAGATATTGGAATTAGAAAACTCGATTTTGTAGCAAAAACTCAGGTCTGTAAGCTTTCTTATTATTATATAAAAAGCTGTGGATCCATAATAAAATATTAAGTTGCTATAAAATTAATTTGGATTTTTTAAGGATCAATGACCATGATGGGTATTTTTAGAAGTTGATGTCGAATAGAAAGACAACAGGCAACAAAGTTTCTTTTTTTCAGACACATTTTGTTCCTTCCTTACATTGTATCCTGAATCCTGAATCCAGAATTCATAAATAGATACTTTCAGAAACTATATATCAGCTGGAATGGGCCATTTCAATTCAAACAAATAAAGAAACCAGAAAACTTTTAGCATTTCAGAAACCAGAGCAACTTGGTGAATACAATAAGAAATTAATTTTAAACAAAATTTTTAATAGTTTATACAGATATATACGGCCATTTTTTTGTTGTTGAAAAAATTGCCAGCATGTAATTTCTGAGTTAAAAAAGACATTTTATAAATTAAACTTGAATGTATTTCTTACGCCTTATAACTTCCTTTATTTCAAAAAACTTTTTTGTTTAATTTTCATCAATAAAATATGTACAATTTAAGTACCCTGCTCAAGTAAACTGTACAATATGCGGGTTAATACCATGAATACGATAAGGAATTGTATCTTAAAAAGAGCAAAAGCGTCATGCAAGATAATTCACTTGGGAAACCAAATCGATAAGAATTAGCATTCTGTTATTTTATTAATTAGATTACAGAAAAAGTTTTACAACCCATCTGTATTGTATTTGGCGCTTTTAATATTATATATTTAAATTTTTTGTATATTTATATCTTTGATATATTTATACTTTTTATATATTTATATTTTTTATATATAAATACAAAGAATTTTACACATTATACAAACTGAAACTCTTATAAATTGATGAATGAAAAGAACATTGTATCGAGATGGAATTGATTTTGAGAATTAATTTGATGTTCCTGGTCTAAAATGGCTTCATCTTTTAAGTTTAATTCGATTAAACCAGTTTTATTTAACTCTCTATCTATAGAAATGACAATCAAATAAACTTTGAGGTAGTTTAGGACCGTTCTTTAAGATTATCTCAATTCCCACACAAAATTCGTAAAAAGAAAAAAATCTGATTCGACTGACTCTGTTTGTTGGCTAGATTTCTCCATTAGTCGATCATCAACACTTAATACAGAATACTTAATACAGAAATCTCATATTTCTAATATTATGTATTTACGTATTATTATAGAATGAGAGTACATAGAGAATAAAAACTTATTAAAAACAAAGATGAAGATCAAATAAAAACTTGAAACTCTTTATAATAATTGAAAAGCATACTATTTGTTTAGCTAGCTGACAAGATCATTCCATTTTAAGCAAATTTAGCTTAGTTTATTTTTATAAAGTGATTTTTTGTTTTTGTTGTTGCATATATTATTTTTTTCAAGATAATAGTTTCCATTAACAAATTAAGATTTTAATTATTCTTGTAATGTTATTTACAGATCCTTTGACTAAAAATTCGAAATCTTTTTCCAGAATCTAAATAATGATAATCCAATAATCTAAATAAATAATAGATCTAAATGATCTAAATAACCCTTCTTATATTTTACTACAGCGATAGTGTTTGCGTCTGCTTCAAATGCTTTCATTTACACTTATACAATTAGATTGTACTTTGTATGTGTTAAATTTGCAGTGCGCTGTTTCGTAGTTTGCGGATTCTTTTGTATATCCTGCTTATATTTTATGAAAATAATGTTTTCTAAAACATGTTTAGATTATATTATAAGATTTGTCTTAATACTAACAAATTTTACAAAATGGGAAAAACATTTCATTATGATGGTATTTTGAATTTTCCGAAACTATAATGATCTTTAAATTTCGTGATGAGAAAAACTTGAATCGATCTCAGTGGCCGAATTTAAAGAATTTGAGCGGCGGTTTAAATTTAAGCCGCTGCTTAAATATTGTTGGTTCCACTCACAATTGTATCAAATGTTTCAAGATTTAAGCCGGCGCTTAATTTAAACCGGGTTTTGGCAGATTTAAACCGCGGCCTAAATTCTTTAAATACCACCTCTCTGGTCAACTAAATTTAAATGATAAGTGAACTGAGTTGAGATATATAGTATCTCCATATTAGTAGAAAAGAAAAAAGAAAAATTAGAAGCCTTGTTTGGTAACACAATGTTGAATCAAGTTCCAAAAAAGTATAAAATAGCGAAATCAACATTGCTCTATTTGCAATATTTTTGATGGAAATGAAATGTACCGAATAGAAAAAGACCATCAAAGAAATATTTCTCAGTAATCAATTCGTTCATCACAAAACCGAAAATCAAACAAAAACATGGAAGTTTTTAAGGCAAAAATATTATGATTGTGAGAATCTGTATTTAAAAATTTTCAAATAAAATATCAAAAGGAATGAATACAAAAATATATTCCGGGTTCCCTAAATCAAGGTTTATTTGATTGTGTGTGTGATATGTGTGCTGTGTATAGGAGAAGACTCATCTAGAATCTTGTTTTTCTGGATACAAATTGTTCTTCTTATCATTTACAAATTAATTATAAACCGCATAATATATTCATTTTGTATATATTTACAAACTTGGAACTCATGTAGTACGTTCAAGAGACGACTTTATGCAAATTTAACGAAGATGAAATTAATGAAAATTGTTGAATGCTGTGTACATAAAGACCAAAGAAATCAAGGTAAAAGAGACGTTAATTTGTTTTACCGTATTTAAACAACATTACCGACCCGTGATTCCCCAAACAGCGGGATGTTAAGTTACCTAATTGTTCCTTGAGACAATTATTTAAAATAACATCCTGCGCTGCGAGGTTTTCGTGAAAAAATAACACAGACGCTAAAATTATTCACAACAACTTTTTCGACCAATTTTTCATTTAAAACATCCTTCGTTAAGCTCTGGATGTTTTGCAGGCTAAATTGGTCTAGAAACTCTTGGTAACGTAACATACCCTTAAAATTAGCAAAGCTGTTATTGTGTAAATATAGTTATTTAAGTAGTTAAAGTATGTTAAATCAGAATATTCCCCGTGAAAAGGCAGTATGTTTAGTTGGCCCCAAAAAATGCTGAGAGGACACTTTAAACTCATTTAGTGTCATTTCAGTTTCCATACACAACATAGTAAAATACTTTCAGCACAAGTATACAGACTTGAAGCTGTAATTTGAAGATAAATAATTAATTACATCTACTTTACAGGACAGTTAAGGGAATTTTACTCTACCAGTGGTTAAGTATCATTTTTAATTTCCCGAAAAAGTAGGCATACACAATTTTTTCTTCTGTTGAGATGAAAATGCGCGATTTTTTTCATGATTTCTTCGCAGAGCGGGTCGTTATTTTACATAACTGTCATAAGGGACGTTAACTAACTTAATATTCCTTTTTTGGCGGAATCATAGGTATCGGTAATGTTGGTAAAAAGACGGTAAAAGATTCAACTTTTACGTAAATATTAATAATGTATTTGTTAAGGAATTAAAAGAAATTTGTATTTTAAGGGAAAATGCAGGAAGCTGAATATTTTACGCTTGAAGATCTTATAAAGAGTTTAAATGAAGTTTGGGACTTCTTAACTGGACTACAGAAGGTTCATTTTATATTTTATAACCTTTCTTCGTAATAATAGAAGTGGCCTGTGTAAAACTTAATAGAAGAGGCCAGTGTTAAAAATGTTTTGTCATACAATTTTTGCCAAGAGTTTTGTAATTTGTAACCTTGCTTACCTGAATTTTACAAATGTCCTGACATATTATCGGAAGAAATTCAACCACTGGTTGAAAATTGAAAATGACAGCCAAACAATAAAGGACGAAAATAGTGTAATACTGATTATTGTCTTCAATTACAACCCAGATGTAAATCCTAGGGAGTTTCGAGATCCATCAATTGCTTATGCTTATGCAAATATTTCACTCTAGATCCCCGTACTCTATTTTTAGTATCGATCCCTTTAATAACCTCTCGTACATATCTCTCAGAGTATCAATAAATCGGGATTGATCAGTTTTATAGTTTTTTTTAAATACATCTCTAACGTTTATTCATGTTTTTTAAGTTCTTTTAGATATTCAACTGCTACAGTTTAGGATCTGTCCGAGTAGCTTCTTCTATTACTCATTTCCTCGTTGTTATCATTATTGTCATCATCATTGTTATCATCGTTGTTATAAACATTGTTATCATCGTTGTTATCATCATTGTTATCATCCTTGTTGTCATCATTGTTATCATCATTGTTATCATCCTTGTTGTCATCATTGTTATCATCATTGTTATCATCATTGTTATCATCATTGTTATCATCATTGTTGTCATCATTGTTATCATCATGTTTATCATCATTGTTTTCATCATTGTTATCATCATGGTTATCATCATGGTTATCTTCATTGTTGTCATCATTGTTATCCGTGAAGTATAGCAGTCTTCTGTCTATTCCTTAGTTACTTCTGATAAAAATTTCTTAAAGCTTCCTCTATTAGCGAGACTGTCGTATAGCTGATCTTGGTCTGGGTTCCTATGAGCAGCTCCTCTAGAGTCGAATCCCCCATCCAGCTGCTCCGGTTCAGGAACTCCGAACTCAACTATCTCATTTAGTTGTTCGAAGTCTGGACTTATCTGAATATCTGCATCAGCTTCATCTACCTGCTGGGGTTCAGGGGCTTGGGACTCAAACACTTTGTTCCAGGGTTCCGGAGTATGATTTCTCTGAGTAGCTGCCTCAAACTCTAATATCTCCTCTAAGGCTACATCTGGACTAGAAGTCCTGGGATTTGAAGATCCTAACAGAGAAGCAGGGATCCCGTCCTCGTAGATCCTTATGATTTCTTCTTCACCTGAAGTCATTGGTCTTTACTGCTGTTCTGGCTGCTCCATATCTTGGGTGTCTCCATTGAGAGAAGATGGAGCTTCTTCATGTTCTATAGATCCTTGCTGCTCTGTATCTTGAGTGTCCCTATTACAAACCATCTCGAGGATCTAGAGCTTCATCTGGTTAACCTTGATCCGTAGTTGGACTTGCTGATACTGTTTCAATCTCAGCCGTACCAGAAACCTTGAGGATGCTGATGAATCTGAAGAATCATCCTTTGGGATATCGATGGGGAGGAGGCCGGTGTCCTCCTTGGTCCTCTAGTAGGCATAGTAAAGGTACATCACCCTAATAGGTGTCAATGAATTACAAGTCCCCAGGCCTAAGGGGGATTAACGGAGCTAAGCTCTAACGTCTATCCTGTATAAGATCCTGGAGTGTACTGCCCTCTAGTCCCTCTATTCTGTTATGATTCATAAAAGGTGCGAGGGTTATTAGTATCAGAATCCTTTTCTAAATATTACAATAGAAGATACGAAAATTTTGATTTAATTGAAGAAGACGGCTTCGAAAGTAAAAAAGTGGAATACACTTTTCGATCTAAAAATCAGCTTTTTTGCGCGCAGATTTTCTTGAAAGCGACTCTTGGATTTCTGTAACATCAAAATTATTAAAATTTATCAATTGAAAGATATAGTGCGGAAGTTTAATCCGATGAAAATGTTAAGGGACAATTGAATTATTAATTAGGACTTAGAAGCCATTTAAGATATCACAATTAATAGATGAGTGTGGATATGTTACTTGAGCTGCGTAATCAACTGATTGGAATATCGTGGATATCTACAAGGAATGTTTTGCTTCAAATTAATTTTTATAGTTAATACGGCCGGCATTAATAAATAAATACAGACCACCTTTATATATTCTAGAGAGAACTTGAGTCTTAGCCACAAACTCAAATTTTCTGATACCTATATCTTTCCAATCTGAATGTACCTTTGATTTTTTTTGATATACTAGAATCAATATCTAGGGTTTACGTCGTCTACGACATTGTGGCAAACAATCAATTCCGTTGTTAGAAGAAATTTAAAATCACAATTATTTATTCTAAACTGCTAAATTACTAAAATTGAAAAATCCCAAACACTTTTTTGAATTACGTATGTAAAACTCCTGCTTAGATAAAGGGACTGTAAGCGTAATTTCAAGTGAACTTTTATTTGAAGAGGGGCATTCCGATTCACAACAATGCTCTTTAAACCATTATTTACGCTTGTAATTGGTAAACACTTTGATTTGAAGCTGTTTTGTATTAAAGAGATAGTATTACTTACTTTCTAAAAATGACAGAATTAAATATTTACCTTCGAATTTTGAAATCCCGCGCGCGTTGGTTGGATGTACAGAGCGTCCCATATCATATTAGATCCTCTCCAAGCTTTAATGCCAAAATATGCACATAATAATAGAAAACCTTAGCATGTTTGGCAAGAAATTTTTTGTATTAGCCTTCTTAAATTTTTTAAATGATTCATTCTTCTAAAATTTTCTTATTAGTCCCGAAAATCGTAATTTTGACCCATTGACGGTCTAATATGATGTGGGACACCCTGTAGAATATTCCAGATTTTCCAGGAATAAATGTTACGTCATCCGAGTTGAGTTGACACACAGTACGCTAGCGTACACTCCAATTCTTACGGCTTTCATACATAGCATTAAAGATATATATACATACAATATGCCCAGTTAGATCTGGGAAATATAAACAAAAGATTTTTAATTACTCAATATTTCGATGTTAAAAGATGTAAATACTACTTCTAAAAATGCATTGCATAGGAAAATATAGATCCAACATAAACTTGAATGTACTTCATTTTTACTTATGGAAAAAATTAATTAAGCAACATTCATTTAGTTAATTAAAATATTTATCTTAAATGTGAATGGAATTTTAAAAAAAATTACATTTGCATCAAACAGTTTGAAAAATCAAAAATCTAAATTATTTAAGATCAAAATATCTAAAGTTTTTAATTTCTTTAAATCATAAATACTCATAATTTGACATTTTTTTTGTGACTGAAACCTTTAAATGGAAGGTTTAATACTTTCTAGTTTTACTTGATTTTATATTGACTTGAGAAAATAATTAAACTGTTGCACGATATCAAACAATTCACGTTATATATTTTCATACTTAACACGAACATGACTTGACTCATTGTAAATCAATAAAAAACAAATATCTCAAAATATGTATAACGTGCATAGTACATAACTAGCAATTCTAGAACAATTGTAATCACTACTTTCTGAAATCAAACTGTGATAGGATTTTTATATTAAAAACCTAAGAACCTTGATCGTTTTTAAGACATTAAAAGTTTTTTTTTCGTACATATCAAGAATTTGAATCATTGTTGCGGTTTTGGATATTATTCACCCCTTCAAACATAATCCGCATGTTATGATAATGGACATTTGTGTGATATGTATGTGTAAACTTCTCAAAGCCCGCTTGTAGTCAGCTACAGCTACAAATTCAAGTGTGTGCTGTGTTGACTTACGTACAGTCTGAACTTAACACAGCCCACTTGAATTTTAGCTGAATACAAGCGGGCTTAGAATTTGATAAGTTTAAACACACATATCTCTGTACTCTACAAACACCCCAATGTGTTAAGGGTACTTACTATTATACATTCGGCAATGCCCTCTTTGCATAGAGGTTCACTTGAACAGTCCCTTTAAATAGCCAAATATGTATTTAGAATTACAATCTAATCATACTGCATTAATATTATTATTATTTTGAGTTCTGACAAACCAATTTCATTAATCGTGTGTAATGTATCATTTACATCTAATTTATTTTGGATTTCTATAATTTAGTATTTTACAAACGACAGTGTCCTATCTTCTATAATTTATTCTTCCTAAAGTTAATTTCAAGAAATGTTGTCTTAAAAAAAACATTTAAAGCAACAAACAATTAACAGGGAAAATTATCAAACTCACGGCAGCAGGTAATAAACTTCATTGAAATCAAAAATAGATAAATTACAAAATATTGTTTTGACGATTAATTTAAAAGTGAAAAAATAAAGCCAACTGTGAAATTGGCTATGTTAGTACAGCCTTTTCCGTAAAAAAGGAACAACTTATCAATTTTCCACTTCAACCTTTCGTGTTCAAACTCCAAGCCAAAAAATGGAAAAAGCTATTTTACCAAAATTCCAATAGGGTTTCCCCATTCATTGTGAATGGGTTAAATTAGGTGCCATCAGTCCCATTAATTTTTAACATGGTTATCATTGGTCATGTGGCAACACTGCCCGGCCCTCTAGCCTGTTTTAGCTTCGGCGCTCGGTCCCTAGCCTCTCCTAGCCGCAGTGCTTGGCCAACCAAGCCTGTACTAGCCGCAGCGCTTGGCCCCCTAGCCTATCCTAGCTGCAGCACTCGGCCCAGAGATTGTCTTAACCTAACCTAACCTAACCCTAAAATAATAAAAAATAAATAATAGTAAATTTGCTGAAATCCTTTCTAAAATTGATTCGAGGGGAGCCCGGGAGTGTGGGGGGGGGGTCCAAAAATCGTTCACTAGGACAGACCCAAAAACAATATTTATTAGTTAGTCAATTTCTGAACAATCTTTTTCGTGTTTTAATATTTCTACCAAACTTCTTCTGCCTTGAAAATAATTACTTTTTCTGTCAAAAAATAAGCATAAGTTTAGGAAGAACAAAAGTTCTAAGAAAATGATTAGCATGAAATATTTCCTGACATTTAATGAATCGATACTACAATAATCAGAAAGGGATATTATTGCCGACTTTAAAAAATAATGCGAAATTAGTCTTTGGAAAATCAAACTCTATTTAGATCTTATTTCTGTCCGACTACTAAAATCTTGAAAAATTACAGATTTGTTTACAAGCTTATCTGATCTCTTACATGTATTAATTCATAGTTTTTAGGTATTTTCAGTCTAAAATTGAGTCAAGTGAAAGCATTTTTGATATTCTAAGAGACATAGGAACAAATTTATTTATGCACAAAAAAATACTCTTTTAAGCACAGTTTATATATTGGTTTAAATTATGGGGATAGTTATTATTTTAGTGCATTTATATATGTGCATGTTAGCTGACTGGTTCGCCAAGGTAACAATGACAAATGAAAAGTTTGAAGAGAAAATTGGAGAGTTTTCTCCTGTTTCTAAAGCAGAAGAACGTGTCAAGAAGATGATGATGATTGCAACTATGAACTCTGAGGCAAGAGTAAGGCTGGGAACTGTACAATTACTTAGGTTTGTCTTATTTTACCACTTTTGAACAATTTTAACAACAATTTTGAGCAGAAATCTTTGATGTTTACAAAACTAAAAATCAGTTTAAAATTGAAGCTCTGACATCAACAGAGTTTTTTTAAGACACTGTGAAAAATCATCTTAATATGCAACGTTTCTAAGATTTAATTGCGTAGGACTGCTTCTGAGGATTATGGGAAAGCGCTCCCTCAAGAGGAGATTTCAAGTGATTGGTTTTCTTGGGAAATGTTCCCCAGCACAAACAAAAGGAAAACTTGATGAATATTGAATTGTTGCTTTCTAAAGTGGATACAAAAGATCGAATTACAGGAAACTCAATTACATTTGCCATACTTGCATGAAAAAAAAAAAAAAAAAATTAACTTAAAACTTAAAAAATTACAGCCAGGTGACGACGCAGGCTGTAATGTGGATTGGTACGGCAGGTCAAGATGTTTCTTTTGTTGAAAATTGAAACTAATCAGTCTTAAATCTTATAAACATGAATATCTAATTCATTCTCGATTTGAAAAGCTTTTAAAATCTCATTTACAGTTAAAGGAATTGAGTATTCGCCACAAATTCGATCTTTGTAATCCTTATATCTTTGCAACGTGATGATGTAAACCTTGGATATTTCAAACTTACATTATTTGATCTAACAGCATTCATAGTTTGAAATATTAAAGGTCTACGACATTGGGTTGCAAATTAAAATTAGAAAATCAGAGTTTGTGGCAAAACTTAATTCCTTTGTTCAACAATGTGCTTTGGTCATTTTTCTCATCGGGAATTTTTTATTGGGTAATTTGTATTATTTCAAATAAACAATAAATAAAAAATTCTTGATGAAAGAAGTTTTTATCGTGTATCTCAAATGTAATCTTATTGTCTAGCAGAAAAAAATTTAGTTTAAATAGTAAAATTAATAATAATTAATAAATTAATAAAATCAATCAAATTAATAAAAATAATTGATAAATAATTTAGTTTAAATTATATGATCCCATTTAGAGTGACAAAAAATTCCTTGAAAGGCTAAAAATTCAAAATTATAGTCATTTAATATAACGATGAATTCATCTAAAACAATCAAGAAAACTCATCTTACCAAATTTCTTATCATCAATGGGATGATAATTTAATTTAAACATGAAATGATAATTTGGTTTTGTATTGATTTTCAAAATTCTCTTGAAATATTCATCTTGTACATATTCCAGTGAAGACGATACCAATATGATTGAAATCTTTAACTCTTTTCTCATTCAAGAGGTAAGGGGGTTATTAGTACTTATTAGGGCAAAAGAACAAAACTCCTGCGTTCACACCACCGTGCACGCAACTTTCAAATTGCGACGTTAAATTGAAATCTTACATGTTTTCAGTCATAGCTTTTCTTTTGAAGCTATTGGGAAGAATAAAAAAGTTATATTATTTGATCGACATAATTCTTCCTATCTAGTCTTCACCCTTATCTTGTCTGTATTATGGTTCATGCGCTTGTCAATTTTGAAAAGTAAATCTGTGGAATAGGACGACGACTGTTAGACTCAAGTTATAATTAAGATAGTCCAATGAACACGAAACCCATCAATTTGTGCAGTTAAAACAAACTCATTTTACGTGAGAGTGCACTGCCACCTCTTACCAGGCACACAAGACTTTATTGCCATTCACATGCTGCTGTATCTATGTTGTGGTTCTATGTTAGGACAACACGAGAGCGATGCGTCTAAGGCAGCTCTAACTATTGTGAATATTGTCTTCCTCGATTTTTCTCTCTCAAGAATTTCTATCTATGAAAGGAACTGAACAATTGTTGAAAATAGCCAAAGAGCTTTGTAATATAAAGAGTAGGCATAGGGATTTATACGCAAAACCAGACGTCTCAATTGGTTTAATTAAGAAGCCACATAATTTGTTGTTTTTTCTATAATTTAAAAAGAGTTTAGGTCTTTTTTGAGCATATATCTCAATATGAACTTTATCTTAGAACAGATGCAATACAATGTTTGGTTTGAAATTTGGCCCCTTCAAAACTAGTTTTTTTTGGGTTTTCCTCACTTGACCGGCCTAAAATTCTGCTTTAAGCAAATAGAAAAATTTACTAGACTAGGCTTTTAGGGCGCTTCGCGCCCATCTTCTATTTAAATTGTGAACATGTTCTTTTTGTTTACATTTTAAAACAAAGAAAAAAATTTTCGGATTTAAAAAAAAAAATTCGCGGATTTTCAAGAATTTTTTTTTTTTTTACAAAATTAAAAACATTTAAAACACATTTTTTTATCATTCATAAACCTTCCCTGTGGTCACGTGATGACATCTATATATAAATTTGGCTTGTCTGTCTGTCTGTCTGTCTGTTTGTTTGTTTGTATCCAATAAACGTCAAAACGGCTGAACCGATCGGGCCCAATTTTTTGTGGGACCTCACGGAGCCCCAGGGAAGGTTTATGAATGATCAAAATTTCAAATATTTGTCTCCATCAAAATTCGATCTTCATTAAATTTTTGAAAATTTTGAAAATCCACAAAATTTTTTGTGAAAATCCGCGAATTATTTTTGTTTTGTTTTACGATGTACACAAAGAGAACATGTTCACAATTAATTTAGAAGATGGGCGCGAAGCGCCCTTTAAGGCTAGTTTAACAAATTTTGTTTTAAAATATTTGGTATATTTTATACAAAAATTGTGCGTAACAAAATCCCAATTTTAGCTTTATTTTAGCAGAAGAGTGCATCCTATCCTATAAATGATTAATTACCTGTGTCGTTAATTTCCGACAATTTTTAGCACCTACAGATTAGTAATAAAAATGATGACTTAGAGTTTTTAATGTTGATTGTTTGAATGAGGTCATATACAAGTGTAAGGAAAAATTCCTAATGCATTATCTTCTACTATTAGGACTATCTTTGCAAGTAGCCAGAGTTTGATTTTATGCTGATGCTAAAGATTTACACACTCAGGTTCCAAATATATAAAGGGATTGTAAAGTTATAGTTTGAGGAAAGTGTTCATTTAAGCTTCAACATAATTTTTCTCTCAAGGATTTGCAGCGTTTCCCGAAATAGAGGTTTTTGCTACTGTAAGTTTATTTTGTTGATATTTGGTTCACTAGCTAAATACAAACTGTATTTTATATATTAATTTCCTATATTAGGACAGCGTATGGGTTTGCTATCTTGTATCTACTCTTCTCCTTCTATTCTTGCTCTTCATTCTCATTCGGGATAGTTGTAGAATTAGCTACAGGCGGACTCAGCTCATCCAATATTTCAGGTCCCATTAATCCCAGTTTTTCCTATCATTTTTTCTTATAACCTGGTTAGTTTTCCATCTTTTTACAAAGGAAATAAGTCTTTCCCACAAACTCTGACTGTTTAATTCCTATATCTTTGCAATCCAAAGTTGTAAACCTTAGATAATTCAAACTATGCATTCTGTTAGATAAAATTGTCTATGTTTGAAATAACAAAGGTTTACTCCGTTAAGTTTAAAAATACAGGGTTTAGAAAATTTGAGTTTTGTGACTGAGACTCAATTTCTTAACCCTTAAACAACTTGAAAATTATTTTATTTATTATAGTGCATTAAAAAATGATTTCACGTAAGCTAGATTATCAAGGTCTAAATCTTACAATATTGAGAAGAAAAAAATTATATTTCGTTATTATATGATTAACAGTTTTTGGAATTGATATCAAGGCATACGTTTCATTAAATAATTTTACACCTTCTGAGGTTGACTTGGCGTACTTAATCTCTATAATAAAACAACACATTCGTTTATATATTCCCTCTAGCCGGCCAAACGGCTAGACCGAATAGGCTGACATTTTTTTGAGGGAATCCTGGAGGTAACATAGGCTAAAAAAATTCTAAAATTTTTATTTTCAAAAAATGATGTTTTTTATAAAAATAGTCTAATGGTCTTATTAACTTTCAGGTTAATGGATAAAGATGAGCTGGTAAAGGATCCTCTATATAGATGGTTAAAGACGTCAAATATATCAACATAAACACACATACCGGCCAGAAGACAGTTTATATTTATCAAAAAATGTTTAAATATTCTATTTATATATGTTGAAATTAAAAAATATAGAATAATGAAGGACACATTTTCGTACTCAAAACTAACACTAAGACTAATAATTCTAACCAAGGTTTGGAAGAAACAAATGACGGATTTCCCTTAACAATTATGAATGAAGATTTTAAAAACTTTAATTTTCAAGTTTTTTGAGACTTATTTTTCATCTTGCAAGGTAACAAATTAGACTATGATATGCTTAGCAACTTAATGCTTTTATTTTTCCGCATTAATACCTTTATTCTCTAACCCTTCCTCTTATATAATCCTAATCAATTACCCTCTCATTTGATTAACCACCCCTAAGGCCCTCTCCACGCCCCTCACACTGAAAAACAATTATAAATTACATAATGTTCATAATACGTACAGAGGCTATTTATATTTAACATTAAATGTAAATGTCAAAATCTACTCCAAAAAATACTACGAGACTGCCTATTTTAAGGTTTTACACCTTTTACACTGACAGTAATTATAAACTAAATCAATAATTTTGTAGTACCTCGCAAGTCGCAATTAAGGGTTTTAAATATGACTGCAATCCTAACTCTCAAATTAAAGATGATAATTTTGTACTTTATTTATATCATTGTAAATATCATTATTGAGAGAAGTAACGAGGAGAAATAATAGTTCTGTGCTGATGATATAAGTTGGTTTGTTTTCCCTTCTCCATCATTGCTTTCGTTTTCTGATCCCTCGGGAAAAGATGAATCCATAGTTTCTAACTTTAATGCATCATCTCTCTTTACAGAACAAAATCTTTGTTGTCTAGTTTCTAGTAAAAGTTTTCATCAAGAAATCTTTTTGCTCACAATGAAATCATAGATCTACTTGCTCATCTACTTAAACAAGAATTTTTATATTCCATTCTCCATGCATAGTACCCCTTCCTGTATACGCCCCTAATCTACTTATAAATTCACAATGAAATATCTAATAAACCCTGCTACTTTTAAAGAAGTAAAATGTCGAATACAGGGGATGTTAGTTCCCAAACTAACACTGGGCCCATATCTAACACTGAGTGTTAGATAGGGCCAAATCTGCAGAGTTATCTTTGTCAAGAGTATATATCTTTAAATCCAAGCCGAGTTGAACTACACCATACATTTATAAAAAATGGCTAAAACTATATATTGAAACATTAGGTGTAAATTTTAAACTAATAATAAGGTGTGAGAATCATGGTTTTTGATGGTTCTTGATTTCATTTTCGAACATATCCTTATTTTGAAACAATTACCGGATTTCAGCTCATTTCGCGTTTTCGGAACATATCCTGGTTTTGAGACAATTACCGGAATTCATATCCATGTCAATTTTCCAGTATTCACGCACTTACGTCACAAAACAAGATTTTTTGATAAGGTAAAATATAAACAAAATAGAAAATAAAAACAAACTGTTCTTTTATAATTTAAAAATCATTACAGCATTGAGAGATCAAAGTACCAATATAATTAGTTCTTACAATATAGATTTAACTAGAAATGCGGGAAGCTGTTCGTTTAAATGCTTGAAAATTAATCATCCATTGATTAAATATTAATTTGAATTTTATCGTTTTTCATACACTTTTCAGATAATCTTGCAAGATTATGTTAATCTGCAGATTAAGAAAAAGAGTGGATTAAGTCTTAATCCCGATATCCACCATTCAAAAGTTCCCAGCTCATATTCTCTAATTTAACAGACAAAATGTGGAAACTTAGATTCTAGAAATAATTCAGAAGTTAATTTAGTCTTCATAAGATAATTTTTGTTTTCTGTGATTTATTTTGTAAGTTATGAAAGTGAATTTTGTTTTGAATTAAGGATTATATTTAAAACTTGAAAGTGGGTTTTGTCTCAAAAACGCGACAATGTTTCAAATTCAGGATATGTTCGAAAAATGGAAAACCTAACATTGTCTTGAAAACGGTTAGGAGATTTAATATAAAAAGAACTCCTATTATAATTTTGATTTAAATAAAAAGTTTAAAATTGGGAATTGTTGTCCTCGTCATGTTTAATAAAATGTTGGTTATAGTTTTTATTATAGACTTTTACTCTGGATATGGGCCGGGATCCCAAAAACCCAGTCTTTCAATTTGTGTCCATTTCTAACACTCAGTGTTAGAAATGGGCCAAATGTTAGTTTTGGAACTAATGTCCCCTGAATAAAAAAGTTGTTGTAGATGTCGTCAGCATTAATTGGTATATAGGCCTACCATTGTGTTTTATACTTCAAGTTAAAGATTTCATTCCTTAGTTTCTAAATAGTAGGCAGATAATCCCTTTCCATTACAACCATCTCCATTACACAAGCATACACTTGCCTGCAAATATTTTATTTCAACAAATATAAACATGTGACATATGTTACTTCGCCCTTTTCTAAGGGCTTTCAAAATTAGGATATAGGGTTGAAACAAATCCTAATCTTTAAATTTTACTTACTTTCTGGTTTTTCTTTGAAATCGTAAACAAAGATGATTTAATAACTCAAAACTAGAAAAATAAACTCAATTCCTGACAGAAATATTGTACAGATATTTGAGGGAAGAAGAGGGCTTCAATTATTGATAAAGTTTTCCAATAATACCTTTCATTAACATCTTTGAGCCAACAAAAGAAAAAACAATATTAATCTAATTGTCAAATTTTTTTACGATTTTAGCTTTTCTTGAAGAGTTATGATCGTACATACAAACAAACAGATAGACAAACAGATATTACTTTTTAAAAGATATAGACACGCTGTTCAGAAACTAGGGCTAATCAAGTTCTATGCTAGTAATGGCTCATCTTAGTTTTTTTTTCGTTTAAAATCCCTGCAAGCAGGTGCTGGAGAAAATACGTAAAAATCTTTTTGAAGAAGCGCGTGCAATATTTGTAATCTTCACCTGTAACCCTGATATTATAAATGTTTACCTGGATAATATTTACAGAGTGATGGCTACAAACAACATCCCGATTATGATAGAATCTATCCCTTTGAACCACTGCAGGAGCTCTGGTACACCCTCGACTTACAGCTTAACAACATAATTATTTTCAAAAGACATAAATCTAGAACAATATTGAAATTAAATGTCTGAAAATCAAATTTGAGAAGGAAAAAGTTGTAAAGTACATTTAAAAATTTAATTTCGGGGTTTCGAGTTAATCACGTGTTAGGGCCGGGCTAATGCATAATTAAGAAAATAAAAAATTCAATATTTTGCTGCTTTATCAAGTTAAAGTGTTTGTTAACACAGGTGTAAGATACCAAGCTTATTGCAAGATTGTTTCAAACGGAATTAATCTTTGCTAAATTTTGTAAAATTTATTATTATTTGTACTCTCAATTGCTTTTAAAACAAGAAGAAGTATTTCAAAGTATTTTTCCCAAATTCAAGGTTAAAAACAACCTTAGCTCAACCTAAATCGTAATTCCCAATATCGGTCATTTTATCATTACAATACCTTTATTCAAAACTATTTATAATAATGAATCACTTTTGTTAACTAAATAATGTACAACATTTTATAAATACATATATATACTTCCCATTAAATGCCTAAATACCTTTTATAATTAGTAAGCTAATAAAGTAATATTTTCTGCCACAATTCCCTGTCGGGAATAGCATTTGCATTTGTTAGAAAAATTTAAATTTTCGACCCAACTCCTTCTCCTGTTTTCTATATTTAAACAAAACCATTTGGAGATTAACACATGCATTACTAACATTATTTCAAATTGATGTATGCAACTTACTCTCATAGGAAGCAAACTTGGTTACTGTTGCCAAGCAAGAGAGATAGGATTCATCAGGACATCCCTAGAATATGGATAGAAAAAAGAAAAGCTGTCGTACGGTAGAATAAGTTTAAGAAAAGGAGTAAACGGTTTAGCATAAAAAATATGTTGCATTGATATAAAACAATTTTATGCTAGCTTGGGAACCCAGCTTTGCCTGGAAACTAATTTTTCTCTACATTAGTCAAATTTTTAAACCATTCCCCTGGTTCTACCGAGTTCCCCGATCAAATTTTGAGGCAAATCGGTAATGGGGTTCCTGAGTTAGGATCAGACATACAAAACAAACAAGATTACTAGATTATAACTTTATATATAGATTTAATTGGGCAACGAATGAAACAAATTCACAGGTGCAGGTAATTAAAAATAAAATAGAGACAGTAAAATTCCTCAATTCACAACGGCCCACTAAATCTTTGTCTAAAAAGCGGTATTAGAGATATCTATTTTTTTTACTTTTAAAAAATGACGCAATGTAAATGTAAATGTAAATGAAATGAGATTGAGTCGAGAAACAAAGAAAAAAAAACAGTGTCTGACTGTATGAATATTCTTTTATATTTCAAACCGTTACCATTAGATGTCGCAGAGGTTGCAGATCCGCGCTGGGACAATCTTCACATTGATAACAATACAAGGTTCCTTGAATACCTAAGCAAATAAAAAAAAACTAAATATCCGTGCAGGTCAATATAAAGACCTGACCTGACAAACATCAGACATTACACTACATACAGGGTGTCCCAAAAAAACGATCTTTAAGACATTGTAGCACTCGCCATGGTTCAAAAAATTGTACATTTTTTAAATCTTTGAAAGATTTCCGATCGATTGATTTCAATTAGAGGTATGTAGCACTAAAATTTAGGAAGTATTGACCGTTTGAAGTTTGTCATTTGTAGATATATATGTTACACTTTAGCAAACAATACAAACATCAGACATGACATTGACAACCATCATGCAGTCATAATAACCATAAATAATGGAAACATAAGCTATACAACCATCAAACAACCCACAATACAAAATCAGACATCAACTATGATGAAGACAATAGAAACATCAGGCTTGACAACCATCAAACAATACAAAAGAAATATTGGGCAGACGAAAATACCTCAGACATGAATAATGCAAGTATCATACTAAACAAATATTAATAAACAGAAGACCTATCAATTTATCCATTCTTTCTAAATACAACCCATTTTATTGGCTTAAGAAGCCATTACAAAGACAAACACCGGCATTAGACAGCAAATTACAATCAGTTGTATTGTAATGTTTTTGACAACATTTGTTAGTTCGGTCTTCCCTCTGTCGTTGGCCAAATCCAAAGTTTTAATTAATAAAAAATCGACTGAATGAGTAAATGTGTTTAACTGATTCAGTCCATTAAACGTCCCAGAGCTATATTGGGGATAGCTTTGTTTATCTACTGATTAATTTAATCTGTATTCTATCTCCCGCAGTGCAATTCTTAAATGAAGCGATTGAGCAATGATCTTCAAATTAAAAGTGTCTACAATGGATATCCAGATCAATACTATTTGTCTATCTATCTGTACCACTTTATGTGATCGCTGATAAAAGATTGATAACATTAAACATCGAAGATTAATCTTCATAAAATGTTAGCCCTTTAATTACGAAAAAAAGTGAAATAAGATTCCATCAAAGGTAGTTGAAATCAATGGGAAGTCTTAGGACTTGAAGTTACCTTTAGGAATTATACTTAGTAACAGAGACAACGAAGGAAAGATAATGAGCATGTTTCACTACAGATTGCAGGGTACGGGGGTAAACACTACATAGAGAGTTATTTGATTGATTTGAAGTAGAATCGTCTGTTGATATCTACTGTCTATCTACATGGTTTTAAACTATTGAACTCTAATCCTAAGCCCTGCAGATTATATTTTTCTGTCTCCAGGTGTTGCGGGTTCCAGCCAGAAACTAAATACTCTCTTAACTCAATTCCAAGATTGATAGAACACGCAATGTTACTGAGGGGAGGGAGGTTTGGAACACTGTTTACTACTCTCCTCCCCCCCCCCCCCCCCCGCCTTGGAATTTGAATTTACTTCAGCAGGAAACTTTACCAACAAATATTGCAGGTTTTAAAACTGGCTTAAAACATTTTATAATTTTCCCGAACTCAAATATTGTTTTACCATTTTATCTAAAGGGCATCTATCGAACCCCAAACAATTAAAACAAATGTCACAATTTTGAATATGATTCATGATGTTATATTTATAAACAAACACTATCTTCAACTTCTTGTGTATGTATGTATCTTATGTAAATTAACCATTCTAAACCAAACGTATGACCACTATAAAATTGTCGAATTATGATAAAATAAAATTTTGATGAATATAGAGGATCAGCTAACACTGCAGTACCTAAAAATACATGAATCTATTATGCTTGAATACTTCATAAATATTATGCATAATATTGGTTTAATGGATAGTAGAGATAAATATTTTTATATTTAAGAATTTTTGGATCTTTTTGTTTAAGATTAAGACAAGATTTAGCAATAGCACTAAAGAAGTACGTACATTTTACATTCTATCCTCATTTATAGAGTAAACACAGCTGATTAAATTTTTGAAATACATGGGTTGCAATATGGCAACTGATAAGTAAAACTCTAAATTGATGTGAAAATAAATTCAGCTTTTTACTCGGTGACTAACGAAACGAATAAAGGATTCACCGACAAAGGGTCAAACGACATCAAACGACACAGGGTCAAACGACACAGGGTCAAACGACAAGGGGTCAAAAACGCGACAAAGGGTCAAACGACACAGGGTCAAACGACAAAGAGTCAAAAAATGCGACAAAAGGGCAATTTTTTTTTTATTTTGACGGTTAGTATTTTTTATTATTATTTAGGGTTAGGTTAGGTACACTCTGGGCCGAGCGCTGCGCCTAGAACAGGCTGAGGAGCCGAGCGCTGCGGCCACGGGTTAGGTTAGTTAAGACACTTTCTGGCCCGAGCGCAGCGGCTAGGACAGGCTAGGGGGCCGAGCGCTATGGCCACATGGTCAATTATATCCATTTATTTATTATTATTTAGGGTTAGGTTAGGTTAAGACACTTTCTTGGCCGAGCGCTGCGGCCACGGGTTAGGTTAGGTTAAGACAATTTCTGGGCCGAGCGCTGCGGCTAGGACAGGCTAGGGGGCCGAGCGCTGCGGCAACATGGTCAATTATATTGCCAACCCGACCATTATGGAAGCCAGAATCAGACTAAAGTTTTAAATCTTCAAAAAAGTTTGGCGTATTTTTGTGATTAAAATTGCGAGTTTCCTATGATTCAAATCAAAAAATATTTTTATCATTTTGACCTTTTGTCGTTTGACCCTTTGTCGCACTTTTGACCCTTTGTCGTTTGACCCAGTGTCGTTTGACCCTGTGTCGTTTGACCCTGTGTCGTTTGACCCTGTGTCGTTTGACCCTTTGTCGTTTGACCCTGGGTCGTTTGACCCTTTGTCGGTGAATCGAATAAAGGAAATGCTCTAAATCGTTTGTGCAAATATTCAATGTGGTTAATCTAACGTAGCTTGCGAAAGCAAATAAGATTAATACGGATCGATTCAACTTAATTTTCTAACTACTTTATCCAGAAAATCAAAAAGTGAAACAAATTTTATCTATTCAACTCATTTAAGCGATCAAAAGTCTTTTGATACGAATACAAATATCTGATTTTAGATCTCATGAATTTAAATCATTTTTTATGACAGTTATTTAAGTTTTAGTTTAGTCATTAATTCATTACCAATCCAGAAACTAATCATTTACAACTTAAAACAGTAAACTGTTTTCGACCTTAAAGGGATTGATAACTATAGGTTTTAATATCTGAATGATTTGTTTGATATTAAATTGGGTTTTTTACGATCCGAGTCGTATGTTGCAACTTTCTAAATTTGCATGGACTCTACGTCATTCGGTTCACGACGTTTTTAAAATTTTTCTCCTTATAGACGCAACAAATAGAAGTAAGATTAGTAGCGATCAAAAGCGATTTTTTTCGCTGTAAACCTATATCCCCTTTCATTTTTTCGCGAACACTCCCTTTAATAATTGAAAACTTTATAGATCGACAAATATTTGCTCCTCTGTGTAGAAAAATATTTAAGATTTCATAAAAAAAAACAACGCACTTGGTCCTCCTGTTAGCTGGTGTTAGGGAGATCCTGCCAATTCAGAGAGCCATGGAAGGAAGGGAGATCACACCACACCATTTTTCGTCCGACCACAAAAAAAACGTCACAAAACAAAATTAACTTTTCGGCATAGCCCTCACCATTATAAGTTTGCTAAAAGAAATTGTTTTCAGGTTAATTTTCACAAAACTATATGTAAAGGATTTGAGTCTTTGTCACAAACTCAAATTTTCGAATTTCTATATCTTTGCAACCTCATTATGTGAACCTTTTATATTTCAAGCTTAGACTAGTTCATTTATTAGAATTCAGGGTTTGAAATATTTAAGGTCTACATTATTGGAATTGCAACGATATTGGGATTAGAACATCAGAGTTTGTGGCAAAGACTCAATTCCTTTTCTGAAAATCAAGGAAAATACATGAAATTCAGATTGCGGCTCTAAATATTAATCACAGTACATTATTAAATGAATAGGAAAAATATGAAAAAAAGATAATATTTAATACCTTAGCAGGGAAATATTTTGATTGCCTTACTGGTGTACAAATTAGAGTGAAGACGACAAAAACATTAAAATTTTGTTTATTTTTTACATTTCACGGTCGATAAAATAGATGGGAAAAATAAAAAAAGTGTTATCATTGCTTTACTATAACGGTTGAAATATATGTTATTTTCTTCCTGAAAATAACTTTTAGTATTCAGAATGATTACTTGAAACTCAAAATTGATTGTCAAAAAATATATTTTCTTAATTTAATGTCATGATTTAATAAGCATTTAGGCCATAATTCGCTTTGTTCATTAGAATCTACAACTAATAAACAACAGTTTTTCAATTGTAACGAGATTGAAGACTGAGCATGCTTTAAGGGATTTGAAAATATAAATCTCGATGATTTCTGTTGTGCCAACTGCCTCATATAAGACGTTCTTCTTAAAAAAGAATAAAATATTCAAAACAATTCAAAATTCGAATTAGATGAATGCCGAGAAGTTGATTTTCTGTGGTAGAACGAAAAAAGGTGTGGTCTGCCTTCCCTCTCTCGCCATGGTCTCTCGTGATTGGCCTGATTTAGCATAAGAGACGTTAGGTCTACAAACAATTAGACCACCTGGCGCGGAATGGTCTGTTTCTGTTTTAGAATTTAAATTATTTTCACTACAAGAATATCTATTTTAATGGTGAAACGGGTGAGCCAATTGAAATTTTACGAGGACAAATCAATATACACATTTTTACAGTACACGCTTTTAAAAAAGAATAAAATAAGTTCTACATCAGTTTCTTAAGTTATATTAATTAAATTTAATCAATTTAATTGATAGTCATTTTAAGATTTAAACTTATAAAGTCCAAGGTCTTCATTTGTTTATGTGAAGTCTTGCAAAATGGAACCAGATCTTAAAGAAATATTCCTTTGTAAATTATTTTCTTTTGAATATTTCTTTCTTCCATTCCCTGGAATTTTGAAGTTTATCAAATTTTGATATTATTTGCACGATATAAAATTCTCTATGTTTTTAACATTTCTTTGTTCAAAAGTTTCATTTTTAGAAATACTTTTTACAAACAATATATCTATATTGTGCTTCAAAATTTACTGTTGTTAGTCACTGTCAGAACGTTTTAGTAAAAGGTTAAAAGCACGTATATAAAATCTGTCTTTTAGTCATAATTCATTCCTTATATCCGGTGCAAAAAGACCAGAAACAAAACAGAAGACGCTGCAACGACATGTACTGTATGGTGCAGTGTATGTATATTCAATTCACTACATAAATTGCCCGTTTACTGCATGAACTGTAAAGAATGAAGTTTAGATGGTACATCATCAACATTTTGAAATTGAAAATATTATAGATTTGTAAGTTTTTTTTTCTTCAGTATGTTTGTTATAAATTAGGGTAAAGTGAGAAAAAAATCTGATTTAAAAATTGAAATTTTATAAAATCTAAAATTATCTATTTCCTTCTAGATCCGTGGCGTGACAGTATAAAGTTTAAATCCCGGCACAAAGTACAGATATCACGCTGTGGAATTAGCTATGACTGTTAGCAGCTCAATCTAACATGTTCAGAACACGTTATCTACCCATGTAAACTATTCATCATGCCCAGGAAATTGTAATTTTTGGCTTCGGTTCAAATGCAGTCGATGTAATTTTTCGGAATAATTTTTGAAAACAATCTTATCTTTCTAATTATTCCAGAACAATTATGTAATTTTTTTACCGTATACGTTATATCACTTTGCTTCTAAATATGTGGAAGTAATATAAACAAATCCACACAAAAAAAGTTAGAATAAAAACAACTTTTATCATACTGTTATTTGGACAATTGTGTATAAATTTAACGTAAAGGGTTACCCACACAGGATGATACGAATTTGTACTGTTTGTTTCCTGATATTCCTGATTCCCTGGAGGTATGTACACTTCTTTCTTCTTTTGTCAAATAAACCATTTAAAGACGACATTTAAGGCAAAAGACGTAATTTAAACTTGGAATCGTCATATTTGAAAAGATTTAAGTCGTCTTTGCACTCTCATCTCTTTTGTAGTAGGAATTTTGTAATAATATTATAAAGAACCTTATTAAAGAAGAGGACTGTAATATGATTGATCGTTTAGTCTTATTTTTCTATTATCATTTTCACCAACACAAATAGTTAATATCAATATTACATGGAGAAAAAAATATAAATCATCCTCTCTGAAAAGGGTTGATGAACCTATAATCAGTATTTTTTTAAAGAATTCATTCAACCAACTAAGGGAATTGAATTTACTCCTGCATTAATTAATTTTCAAAATTAACTTTCAAAGTTAAATTTTAAGTGTTGCGTTATCAATTTTCATCCGTAAAGGGGACACAGTTCCCAAAAGCAAAACATCAAAATCCATGATTTCAGAGGTCCATAGTCTACAAACTAAATAAAGTATCACATATATATATATATAAATTTGTTTATATCTAATTTTTGTAAATATAATATATGTTAAGTATGATGAAATAATCCAGGGCTGAATACTATGTCCTTTTTTGACCATTTTTTGAGACCCCGAGTTATAGTTTAACTAAAGGATATGTTCAAAACAATTGAATAAGTTCTGTATAAAGTCTAATATTTTATCTTGACTCTATTAATGAATTGGAAAACAGTATCCCTGGAGCAACTCACACATTCGATGTGTGGCTCCCATGCAGAACGGATCTAAATTTAGATAGAAGGATGTTTCTAAGAATGTTCTTCCTACTTACGGGATTATCTTTTGTTATATCTGCACCTGTACAGGTGTGTACCGTACCTTTAATAGTTAATGAAGTTACATTTTTCAAAAAGCTGCTATAGGATTTGAGTCTTTGCCACACATTCAGTTTTGTAAAACCTATATCTTTGCAACCTTATGATGTAAACCTTTGATATTTCAAACTTACATTATTTGATCTAACAGAATTCAAAGTTTGAAATATTCAAGGTCTACGACATTGGGTTGCAACGATATTGAATTTAGAAAATCAGAGTTTGTGGCAAAAAATCATTTTGAAATTTCTTTTTAAAAATCATTGTTTAACGTTGAACACCTGTGACCAACAAAACGAGCTTAAACAACTTTTCTTTAAAACCGTATTATTAAATGTGATTTTCTTTATAACCGTATTATTAAATATGATTTTCTTTAAAACCGTATAATTAAATATGATTTTCTTCTTCAGATGAACGCTAGAGAAAAAACAAGAATATTATCAATGAGGGACTTAAGGGACAATCCAACACCAGAAACTGAGCTGCTGAACTCAACATCGGAGGAGAATTCTCTGAGAAACCTAAGCACAGATTTTGAGACTAAAAGTCTGTCCAGTCGAAACACAGGCCTGTCGAATTCTGTTAAGATACAGGATGAATTTATAGCAAGGTTAACTGAGGACTCTGGAACACAATTATTGGAACAGGAGCATGAAGTGTCAAAGTTTAAGGTACTATTTTTTATTAAATGATCTTAACATATTCATGATGATTTAACTTGTTAATATTAGAGGAGATTAGAGGAGTATCTGACTCAATATCCTGAAGATGAAAGGGAACAGCAGAGATCAAGATTGATCCTTCTTTTATACACGCTTAGATTAAACCTCACGCGAGAACTTATAAATAGAAGGTTAATATCATCATTTCAAATAGTTTAGTGATTGCGCGTTTTACGGAGTTTATTACTAGAAATAACCCATTAAATCAAAAAAACATTAATTTTAAACTTTAACCGATTCAGCTCGATAACTTTGTGACACTCTTTTTTTTAGGACTGCGGAAAGGGATAGAAGAGCTAGACTCCTATAATTACAAAAATGCTTTAGTGTACTCTACGTGCAAAAGAAAATTCTGGAGTATATTTAGAAGTGTATCTTGGAGTATACCATGGAGTATACCTTGAAGTATACTTTGGAACATACCTTGGAACATACCTTGGAATATACCTTCGAACATACCTTGGAATACACCTTGGAATATACCTTTGAATATACTTTGGAAATACCTTGGAATCTGGAGTACATTTTGAAGTGTATTCAGAAGCAACCCCGACAGTATTATTATTTATTATTTATACGAGGTGAAGAATTCAGTTAAATGTATTTAAAAGATCTCTATCGAAATAAATAAAAAATATTCATTTGAATATAGCTTAGTAAAGTATACAAGGATAATATTGAATATAATTGGGGAATTGGATTAAGATAGTGGAGTGATTGCAATCTTCCTTGTAATGTAAAGATTTGCAGGGTTTCTTATAGATAATAAATAATAGTATTAGAATCTAATAGCTTTATATACGTCTTAAAAAGGAAAGCGTAAATTAGCAAATCATTTCTCAAGGCTACAAAGCTATATATATTGAGAAACTCAATAAAATGTCATTTTTTATTATTATTCATTATATGTAAACCTTTATTTAATAATTCATACCTTTTTCTATGCATTTAAAGGAATTGAGTTTTTTTCCACAAACCCTAATATTCTAATACTTATATCTTTGTAACCCGATGTTGCAGACCTTTGACATTTCAAACTATAAAATCTCTTGGATTGAATATTCTCAGTTTGAAACATCAAAGGTTTACACCATCAGGTCGCAAAGGCTTAGACAATTTGAGTTTGGGGCAAAAACTTCTTTATTCCTTTACTCAAAAGGCAGTTACTAGATTGAAAAATGTAAATAAAAAACACGAGAAATTTCTTATTTGTTTGAACCGGTGAAGTTTTTAACATATTTTTCTTTTCTTTTCCACTATAATTCTAGCCAATTTACAAAAGCAATATTGGAAAAGGCTAGAAAAATATTTCTGCTTATATTTATTTGTATGTCTACTAGACTTTTCTTTTGGATCAGATTATTGTTTGGAATAGTACAATATCTTCAAATGCACATTTTGTTGTATGCATGGTCAGTGATGTCGAGATCTTTTTTCAGATTAATATGTCAAGTGGAGTATGAAAATCCAAAATCTTTGTAAAAATGTCCAAACTTAATCCTTGACCAGGTTCATAGGTATTTTTTATTCCATGTAATGCAGCCACATCAAAATGTTAGACAAATAAGTAGAGAAGTATAATCAATAATCAATAATCATACATATGAAAACAGCCGGGAAAAAAGCTATTAAATGAAAATTTCATAAATTTATATATAAAACGTATAGCCAGGCCAAAAAAATGTGAAAAATACACTTAATGGTTTACACGTGGAAATATATATTCCTAAATGAAATCTAAATCACAAAGATCTATAGAAAGCATGTTCAGAATTCACAGAATACAAGATCGTAACACGAAGAGAGTTTATTCCCAATATGGATGTCGCTAAGTATAAAAGCTACATAACATAATCATGGAAGCTATAACATAGTAAAAATATGTAATCTTAAAGGAGCCACTAGTAAAATATTCGGTGGGAACAGCCTGAGTGATGGCTGCTTTTAGGGTTTGAGTAATATCATAGTTTTGGAGTTGCTCCCGTGGTTTTGGAGTGAAATATCCCTGTTTTAAAAACCATAGCTGTTCAATTACGAAAAGTTTGCATGTGTTAATATTATTCAATCTATTGCCCCCTTCTCCAACCTCCTTCAAACTTTAAACCTCCTGGATGACCGTCTCTCTCGACCCCTTGAAGTCTAAGGCCAATCAATTAAAGACAGCCGTTTATGGCTTGATTGGTCTAGCAGTCCTGATACAAATCATTTTATGTCATATGAAAATAAAAATGTATGATTGTAATATTTTGCTACCATAGCAAAAGCGAATAATAATAAATAGTAATTTGTTCTACAGGGTGTCTCAAAAAAAACTGTGCAGTAGGGGTATTAGTAACTGAAGAAACAATTTTCGTTCAATTTTTACGATCAAGGTGTCATTCGAAAGCTCTATATTTCAGTTATTTCATGATGTGAAATTTTTCTTTCTAGGCCTCATACTTTTTTGTTACAACCAATTATTTGAGCATAAGTCGAAAATCGATTTCCCGGATTTTTCAATTTTTCTAAAATTGAAAAATCCGGAAAATCGATTTTCGACTTATGCTCAAATAATTGGTTGTAACAAAAAAAAGTATGAGGCCTAGAAAGAAAAATTTCACATCATGAAATAACTGAAATATAGAGCTTTCGAATGACACCTTGATCGTAAAAATTGAACGAAAATTGTTTCTTCAGTTACTAATACCCCTACTGCACAGTTTTTTTTGAGACACCCTGTATATTTTATTAAGCTAAATTGTCTAATTTCTGAATTTTTAAATAAATCTTTGGCTTGACCAAATTTAACAAAGAAAGTAGTCTAAAAATGTCTAATAACTATTTACAACTACTTCTCAAGTTAAGAGAATCTTACGTTACCAAGGATTCCCAAAGTCAATTTTAACCTCCCTCCCCCCTACATTGTGTTAACCTCTCTCCACCCTCCTCTGTTGTAACTTCCCTCCACCCTCCTCTGTTTAAACCTCCCTCAATCCTCCTCTGTTTAAACTTTTCTCAACCCTCTTCAGTTCAAACCTCCCTCAACCCTCCTCAGTTCAAACCTCCCTCAACCCTCCTCTGTTCAAACCTCACTCAACCCTTCTCTGTTTAAACATCTCTCAACCCTCCTCTGTTCAAACCTCCCTCAACCCTCCTCAGTTCAAACCTCCCTCAACCCTCTTCTGTTCAAACACCCCTCAACCCTCCTCTGTTTAAACCTCCCTCATCCCTCCTCTGTTTAAACCTCTTTCAACCCTCAACCCTCTGTTCAAACCTCCCTCCCTCCTCTGTTTAAACCTCTCTCAACCCTCCTCTGTTTAAACCTCCCTCAACCCTCCTCTGTTTAAACCTCTCTCAACCCTCCTCTGTTTAAACCTCCCTCAACCCTCCTCAGTTTAAACCTCTCTCAACCCTCCTCTTTTTAAACCTCCTTCAACCCTCCTCAGTTCAAACCTCCCTCAACCCTCCTCTGTTTAAACCTCCCTCAACCCTCCTCAGTTCAAACCTCCCTCAACCCTCCTCAGTTCAAACCTCCCTCAACCCTCCTCTGTTTAAACCTCCCTCAACCCTCCTCAATTCAAACCTCCCTCAACCCTCCTCAGTTCAAACCTCCCTCAACCCTCCTCTGTTTAAACCTCTCTCAACCCTCCTCAGTTCAAACATCCCTCAACCCTCCTCTGTTCAAACCTCTCTCCACCCTCCTCTGTTGTAACTTCCCTCCACCCTCCTCTGTTTAAATCTCCCTCAATCCTCCTCTGTTTAAACTTTCCTCAACCCTCCTCAGTTCAAACCTCCTTCAACCCTCCTCAGTTCAAACCTCTCTCAACCCTCCTCTGTTCAAACCTCCCTCAACCCTTCTCTGTTTAAACCTCTCTCAACCCTCCTCTGTTCAAACCTCCCTCAACCCTCCTCAGTTCAAACCTCCTTCAACCCTCTTCTGTTCAAACCTCCCTCAACCCTCCTCTGTTTAAACCTCCCTCATCCCTCCTCTGTTTAAACCTCTTTCAACCCTCATTGTAACCTCTATCCACCCTCCTTGTATCCCCCTCCTATGTTAACATCCCATCCTGTCGGTAAAGTAGGGTTATCCTGACAACTTTGGCCCATGTGAAAACTGATTATCCTACTGATGGAAGAAGAAAAAGTTTTCACATACAAATCTGATTTATGATTATGATGCTGAACAATAGAGAATGAAAATATACCTATGCTCGGAATTTCTTTGTCCTTAAGAAATTGTTTTTTAAGTAATAAGTATTAAGTTAGTGCACCATATTTTTTTAAAGGAATTGAGTCTTTGCCACAAACTCGTATTTTCTAATCCCTATATCTTTGGATTCCAACGTCGTAAACCTTTGACATTTCAAACTATGACTTCTATTAGATCAAATAATATAAGTTTGAAATATTAAAGGTTCCCGACATTGGGTTCCAAAGATATAGGGATTAGAAAATCAGAGTTTGTGGCAAAGACAAAATTCCTTTATCAGAATCGAATTTGTTGTATTTCGAACCCCCCCCCCCCCCCCCATGGCAGGGGAGGGGCGAGTGTAATATTTTTACGGTTACAGTGTTAAGGTTTGGCCTGCTATAGTACAAACGTATTGCTTTCATATACTAACAATACACCCACTCGTACATTATACATGTGTCTTATGTACCTCTATGGAATCTGTGCTTGATTTAAAAGAATAGACGTGGCAAATTTAAAAACACCTCTCTTAATCATATTTTTGTGGAATGTTCTTGTTAAAAGCAGGATAGTACATGTATTGGCAACCTTTGAATCAAGATTTTGTGGAATTAAACATGTTTCTAGTTTTTGTACTAATCTCATTTTCAATCTATAGACATTAGTTTGACAGAAGCAAGGACAAATTAAAAGTGTCTACACTTTGATTCATAAAATAAGATTCAGTTCGCTTAGAAATATTGTCAAATATCATTTATTTTGAGACATCTCTAGAGTTGGACAGCTAGAGGTAGAAGCCTTTAGATAAGGAAGCAACACATTTTATTAAGGCATTAAAAATTGTTTGAAAGGCTGAGAATTCTTGACAATTCTTCACCATTTTTATGGGATTTTTTAAGTGTTTCTAAATCTTTTGTGTTTATATTGAAGGTGTAACTAATGAACTTAGATATTTACAGCCCTGGTAAAGGAAGAACCAGAATTAGATCGAATTACCTTATCTCTAAGCCAGGTCTCTGTTCACATCTTCTTCTCCTAAACTCCCAACCTGTACTAGATTTTGGCTGAAGAATAAAGGAGAGATTTTTCCTCTACTTAGACCTGATGGTCCTCCCATATACTCTTAAGGAGTTGTAATCCTGTTCTACCTAGCTAAATATTGAATTTGTTTGAAACAATGATAAATATCTTTAATCTATGAGAAATATTACACTTTCTTCAGCACAATGATTCCCTCAGATTTGAAATTTGGTAATAAAGGTGACTGCAGATGTTTCAGCCGTCCAGTTCTAATGATATAATCACCATTATCATCTATATTAAAAACAAAACCAAGCATGAAAAATACAAAAAATTTGTTGTTTGGTGTTTAAAAAATAGATATCAAATCTTGATTCAAGATATGAAAAGGGAAAATTTTCAAAATGTCACTGCAAAAAAGTTTATGATGGTTCCGTTGTTAAAATGTTGTTCATCGTAATTTTCAAGAAATGTTTCTAATCGTTGAGAAGAAGGTATTTTTAGAACAAAATATTATAAAATATTAATATTTCTACATACTTTTATAGTTTAACGGTCACACAGTGGTATAACATATTGTAAGGAGCAGAGTGAAACGTTGTAAAGGATCGAACAAAGTCTAACTTTCTAATCCCTATCATTGGAACCCAATCATGGTCTGAGATATTTCAAACTATAAATTTTTGTTAAATCAAATAATATATTTTTTTTAAATATTTAAGGCTTACACCATCAGGTTGCAAATATACAGGGATTACAAAATTTGAGTTTGTGACTCAATTTCTTTAAGACTTACACAATGCATAGTTTTTTTGAATTTTAAAAGTTCATAAAATGAAATACAAATTATTTTCAAATTTTGTTATCCAAACGTTCCGAAAAGATTAATTCTTATCAAGCATTTAGTGCGAATGCTGCATATTTTCATATATCCTCTCTCGGCTTTATAGGTTGGGTTCTATTAGAGTCGATATAATAAACAATCATCATCACACTATTATAATCTTTTTTTATAATTTTCTTGTAGACTTTTTACTCAATCAACTTCCAGACTTTGCTATTTTAGACAAACGTATCTATGAAAAAGCAACATAAAAATATTACTTGGAAATAATTTGCGGCGTTAAACATTGGGAATCCGATTTTAGCAATGCTTGCTTATAAAACAATAATCACAGAATAGACCTAATTATTGGAGATATGAATGATTTCGTTCAGACTAAGATATTTTTATGGTTTTATAAATTGAATTTTAAACAAAATTCTTAATATCTCTGGTATTTTCTAGAGCAAAAAAATGGCAAACCACATTTTGGAAATGGCAGGATTAGAGCTAATTTGTAATCATATTTTTATTAAAAATATTGCTAAAATCAGGTTACCTATAATACATGACGCAAGCTAATCCCAGAGTCAAAGACGACTTTGAAGTTATTAATCAGTTTATGTTATTCCGGGTTATTTAGAATATCACTGTAATTTATTCATAAAACCACCTACTGAGAATATATTCTTTTATCCCACCTAATATTGATACCAGAGTATTCAATCTGCGAAGTGGACGTTTTCTATTCCCTTTCCTGTAATAAATCAACTTTTACTCAAGCTGTAGTCTACGGATAGGTAGCAAAATGTTTTTAGAAAGACCGATGGATTGATTGATATTAAATTATTGAAGATTTGGAAATAACAAACTAAAAATATATAGGTAGACGAAAGAGATGTTATTTAAATGTAAAAAAAAATTTACCGTCGCACAAAATTGCATTTTAATTAAAACTTGTTGTTGCTAGTGTTTGCGAGCTTTTTTTCTTTGTACTTTTATTAACAAACAAAATTTACTTTCAGATTTGTTTTTTTCAGTAAATGTTCAAAAGACGAAGAAAAAAGAATTGAACGTTAAGTATCACAATAGAGTCATTTTTAGAATTTTGTCTTTTTTAGAACAAACTTGGAACAAGCCAATAATAAAGATTAAAAAAATATGTATTTTTGTACTTATATATAATACAAATAAATAATGATATGTAAATACATACACCCTAAAATATTTATAAATATTCGTATTCCAGAATGATTTAATTAATTGATTTCCGCTTAAAAAAACTTTTCGATCTGGCATTTCATTAAGTTATATGCGTGATCTCTTGTTCTCTTCTTCTTATATAAATATAAATATATTACTGGTCTTTCAGGGAGCTCCGCGCCCCCTTTCCTTTTACAAAATTTAGCTTTAAATTCTTAAAGTCGCCATTTTTATCTTTCTCTAATTTTCGCGGATTTGTCTGTTTAAATTGGTGCATTTTCAAAAATTTGTCAACTTCGACCAGAGAGTGAGAGAGAGATTTTATTCCTTTGTTCATCTACAGCGTTTCACTCTTCTGTTTAATTACATATTATCACATAGAGTCAGCCTGCTTATAAACATTCTCATCAATTTTTAAGACAGGGTTGACTTTGAAGTGTCACAACGTCTTGGGCCTAGATTTTACCGCTCTAACTCACTTATCCTTTTCTTTAGCCCTTTCCATGTACATTTTAGCACTTTAAAGCACTTATTGTTAGCTTCGGTTTTTAAGAAGTAGTTGGCAAAGAAATTGAGTCTTTGCCACAAATTCTGCTTTTCTAAATCCTATATCTTCGGATTCCAATGTCGTAGACCTTAGATATTTCAAACTATGAATTCTGTTAGATCAAATAATATAAGTTTGAAATATCAAAGATTTACGACATTGAATTCCAAAGATATAGGGATTATAAAATAAGAGTTTGTGGCAAAGACTCAATTCCTTTTCTCGATTTTTGCTTGAGAGCTTGATACCTTTAAATTACAGTGATATGTTGCCTCTGTATTGTCTTTAGAAATATGAACGGTATGCGACTTCATGGGTTGCAAAGATTTAGGGGTTAAAAAATCAGAGTCTGTGAAAACAAAACTCAATTCCTTTATCTTATGTTGGGCACAGGAACAAAGAAAGGAAACTAGAGTTGGGTGCTTGCAGCTAATTATAAATGGTCTTCTACATCTTTTAGCCAATATAATTTCATGGATAAAAAACTTAAAGTGTTAACCTAAATTGTTTGAAAATGGACTATTACCTATATGATATGGAATGTTACCTTAAAAGAACTGATTTTCTGGTTTTCTCAGTTTTTTGTATGTCTCCCATAGTAGGATTTGAGTTGGTAATCTGACAGTCCAAGGATAAGCCTGTATATGAATAATACCGGAGAAAGGTTGCTATTGTGTGCTGGTGAAAGGATAGACAGTGCTTTTATCCTAGACTGATATTATCATACTCACGTACTAATGTCAATCCTATTCAATACAAAAAAGCAAAGCTTTGTGAAGAAAAGCTATATATTTACCACTACACAACTATAGATTAAGTTTAAGTTTATCATTTGTACGTCCGTACAATCTGGCATTAGAATTGTTTAAGAATAACACCTACATTATTGAACGAATTGGGTTTACAATATTTATCAAGCTTTCTTGTTTAGTAAAGCTATATTTTCTTTAATTTTCCCAAACATTGCTCAGATAAATCATTCTTTTTGCTCCAAGTGAGTGAGAAGAGAACGGGTTCATTTATAACCTTTGTCTAGTTATCTGTTCATTTTCTCCTTTCAGAGTACAAATGATTTAACATTTATTTTTACATATAAAATCATAGATACATATTTTGGGGATTATGAAGATTTTTTGTTTTTCAGCTTCTAGAGTATAAAACCTCAAGTACTAATTAAAAAATTTGTGAAAACATTTAATGTGTTGCAGTGTCTTAGACCTTATGTGAGTTAGAGTAAAAACACCTTATGAGTTATGACCACAATATAAGTAAGTTTTCTTCAAAAACTTGATAATGTTTTGTTACATTTTTTTATTATTTTTTGTTTACAATAAGTTTTTTTTCAAATTACTGCAAGTTTACAAGGAAACAAAGATAAACTGTTAATTGAAAGCTTCTCTTTACTTAATGTTTTTGTGTATCAATGTTGTTTAAAAAATTGGTAGAAATAAAAAATTCAAACTGATATATAGGACGACGAATGAATAGGTTTCAATGCATGATTTAATACATCCCAGAAATATTGTCTGACCTGTATACTGGATAAATGTTTTTCCAATAAATGTTACAGTTAACGTTTTGTTTTTAGGTGTAATGTGCTTTTTTTCCCAATTATTTTTATACAAACAATATTTCTTTTACATACTAAATAAAGTTCTTCAACGGGACCTTAGATATTTGCGAAGGAATATGGTGCTTTTAAAAAAGGTTTTTACACACTTCCCTTTTTTTGTGTGTAAATTTTCTTATTTAAAACGAAATATCTGCAAAAAACGATGTTTGCATTGCACAGAGATTGATCCTGGACCTAAAAGTGTCATTAAAAGTCAAAGAGACGTCAATACCTGGAGGTTTAAATTTGCTAGTAAGTCAGGGTAAAATTCTTTATCAAAGACCCATTCCAGCTGCATCAGGTCTGCCGCTTTTGTAAATGTAAAGTGGTGGTACAGTCCAAACTAGGACCACAAAGGTTGGCCCCGCTCAGATATTCAAATGTACAACGGTTGTGCGTGCACTGCAGGGGATTATTAAAAGAATGACTACCAAAAATAATGTAAAACCATTGAAATCATGATCTATCTGCCAATACAAAGATATTCAGACCTTTTTTGATTTTTTGGAAGAATAACACTTTATACCGTACGCATAATTTTTAAGTAGGTACCAATAGGAGTAGAAGTAGGAGTCTAAGATGCGCTTCATCCGCGGGGGGGGGGGGTATAGAAGGTTTTTTCAGGGCCCCCACACCAACTCGAAATCAAAGCAGTATGAAAGTCACACAGGTCTGCCGCTTTATTAATTGTAAATTGGCGGTACAGTCCAAACTAGGACCACAAAGGTTGTCCCAGCTCGGATATTCAAATGTAATTTTCTTGACACCTAGAAAAAATAAAGGTCACTACTATACGGGTTTTGGAATTATCAAGTATTCAAGGTTTTTGGGCTTTCAGGAGACTCCGTACAAATCTATGCAATCTAACATTATGGAAAATCTTATTTTATATTTTTTTCTGAAATTTTGGGAAATGTCGGCTTTTTAACAGAAGAAATATGTCCAAACGAAGCAAAACCCAATCTTTATCAACAACTGACAGTGAAGGATACTGTAAAGCCGTTAACCAGACTTGCTTAAAAAAGGGGTAAGTTCAGGAGGTGGTATAGCATTTACCGACGTCCGACATCTAGGATAAACGACCTAGGGTCAAACGCTTGACAGGCAAAATTGCTTATTCTAGGTTAGGCCAAACGCTGCGGCTAAGACAGGCAAGGGGGGGGGGCTATGCAGCCATTATATTTTAATCATAATTAATTATCAGCCCACATTTAAATTTAGGTTAGGCTGATATAATTTTGCTACAAAAATACGATATCTTGAAACTTTTCCCCTTTTGTCTTTTCCATGGCCCTTTAAATATGGAGTTTTGTTTGAAACCATTTAAGATCTAAAATGTATTAAATATTTTATAAATTCCAAATTTTCTTTTTCAGAAATATATTATAAAAAAGCTGAAGTGCCCAACGCTGCCCGTGAAAAAAAATATGTTAAATGTTGAAAAAAAAATTTGAAATTGTTTTTTTAAATTTTGATGTTTTTAGCCATGTGTTCCTCTAAAAATTCAGCCAATTTGGTCCAGCCGTTTAGCCAGCTATAGCTGACATACATATATATATATTAGCTGGCCTGGCCTGCATACCGTAAAATTTATTGATTTGTAATAAGAGTAAAAATGTTACATTTTCCACCCAAGGTAAAACTAAAAAGGCGAAATATCACTTAGATTAATCGTTTCGTCACAAGAGATCTTTTTCTGCTGATTGTTGTACGATTTGTCATACAAAATACCGGGCGAAAGAGTACATGGGACAAATATTTCCCTAGAAGGGAATCCTTTATTTGGTATACAAACTGTACAGCTCTAGCTGATTAAAAGACGGGCCGGTACTTGAAATGAACCGGATTTTACAGTGAGTTGCACGGATCAGCACATGCAACGCCGGGTACTAATTTCAAATGAATATCTCCCCCAGATGTCCGGAAAACCAAGATCTTTTATCTTTTTTTACAAAAAGTGCCAATTCTGATGTAATTATTTTTTATGAATTTTTCATTGTAAAATTTAAAAAGAAATAATTTGTAACACAATTTTCGTAAAATAGGCAATTCCTAATAACTTTTAATTTTACGACATAAAAGACACACAGTGCATAAAATATTTAAGGACAAACATCAAGTAAAAATCCAGTTATTTTCAGTTATATCTTTATTAATCTTTGATCTAATTGAATCAAATACTGAACATGTGTATTGATAAAAAACATATTGATCTTTAGTTAGAATGGAAAAACGTGACTTTACAGCAACGTAGTCCATACCATTTGAAAACTATTGGATGGTGAAAAATTACATTTAATTTTTTAGATATAATTAAAGGGGTTGTTCATAAACTTAAAAAAGGAATGGTTAGGTATTATTTAAACCCTTTGATGATCAGAGGTTCCTCCTTTTTTGTACCAATATCTAGTGATAATGATGTTTGATATTAACAGATGAAATGTTATAAATAAGATTAAAGAAATCGTTCATTTTTTAATATACACATAATAATGACTTTTAGCAGTATTTACCAAAAACAAGATATTTATTTTGACATATCTGTGAGCGTTAAGATAGGTATTCTTTACTCCAAAAATCTGGTTATTATGTGAATTTTAAAATAGGTAAACATTCCATTTAAAAAAAAATCCTTAAAGTCAAGTTGTGTTTGGTTGTAATGAATAATACTGGTTGAGGAATGAGGATTGAGAAGAGTCCAACAAGATTCAAATTTATTATAGCATCCGAACTCTGCGGTCCCGTTCATTCTCCCTGAAACATTTATTTATTTATTCACTTCATTTCTTTACTTTTTTTCTTGTATATTTTCTTGTAAAATCTTATTTATTTTTGTAATTTTATGGATATCTACGTACGTCATACAAAATAATTGACATGCAAACATGTATATACCAAAAATGTAATGTTCCCCATGCACAACACAGATTTATATAAAATATACACATATCGATATCATATATATTTATGATATAAATAATACCAAGAAAATTTACATTGCAGCAACATTCTTGTTTTTATCTGATCTGTCAAATTTCTAATTCAAATATCTACCTCCAGTTCATTTCTTGAAGAATTTGTTCTCTAATATTTTGTAAGGTTTGAAGAAGTCGCTCGGTTTGATATTCTCTCTCCTCCTCCGGGTACCGATTGGATACAAATTGCGCAACTTTTTCCTTAAAATAATTTTCTTTTTTTAAATAGAAAAGAAAAGTTTTATAGAAATAGTAAAGAAACTAAACATTACAATATAAAATTGATGATGATATTAACACTAATGACAATGAAAAAAAATGTTAATGATTATAATAATAATAATAATAATAATAATAATAATAATGATAATGATAATGATAATGATAATTCAATTACGCTCTATTTGTTTTACTTTCTGTGTACAACATATCATGCATTTCTTACTTCAAAATCATCAGTAAGCACTAACGAGGCTAGAGGATGGTTTTCTGGAAGAACATTGTCTTCAACTAAACTCGGGTTCAAGAAATTATCTAACCTTAGGCCCTCCTCGTCAACCTGAAATATTTCAATTTCAGAAAATATGTTCCTAGTTTGGTTTAAGGTTCTAAGTTGAGTGGGTCGACTTTTATAGGGAAAAACCACTAAAATCGTAATTTCAGACCAAGTGGGCAGCGCCAGACAATTCAGTTAGTCCTATTTTGAAAGTATATCACGTTGTTAAAAACAATTTACTAACAAGTGACATGTGTCTTGTTGTTGTATCAAGATGCTTGTATTCTTAAGTACGTATTCTATGCTTGTCTTTCCTTTAACCCTTGCTTTACACCATTTTAAAAAAATAATGTGATGTGATATTTTGTAAGTGCATGTTTAAAACACTAGGCTTTTAAGGCACTTCGCGCCCATCTACTATTTTATCTTCTAATATCTGTGAGCATTTTCTTTATTTACATAAAATATGTACAACATTTTTTTTTTGAGAGTTTAAAAATAAGTTGTGTGCAATTTTTTAAGATTTCACAACAATCAAAAGCTTTTCGATACAACTTTTTGTAACTCTGAGCATTCATAAATCTTCCCTGCAGGGTTATGCAAGGTCCCGCTCAAAATTTGAGCCCGATCGGTTCAGCCGTTTTGACGTTTATTGGATACAAATAAACAGACAGAGAATCAAAGTATATACAGTGATAACTAGAAAACTCTGAAATAGAAAGACGACTTTTTGACTCAAATGATTTTATGACATTAAATAGTCCAATGAGCATGGGACACAGCAATTGTGCAGTGTAAACAGATCCATTTTACTTAATTATTGATTTAATAAGCTTCTTGAAAATCAATTTTCTTTGTAAAAACATGAAATAGGCTTAGTATTGTTATAAAATCGTCTTCCTACTTCAGAGTTTTCTGGTTATCACTGTATATAGAAAAATAGTATCCAATACTTTAGGACTTTCCAAATGTTAGAGAAAAAAGTATCCTTTCTCTATCTTAAATTTCTTATATTTCCCAAATTGGGTATTTCAAGAGAAGTTATCTTATACAAAATACGAACCAAGAAGAGTACGTTGTAAAATGTTATTTTATCATTTCATGTAAACAATTGCTGAATATATAAGTATAAGTTCTGGTGCAAAGGCAAGATACTTTTTTTTTAAACAATGATAAACAAAGCTGATTTTTATTTTATCCAGTTTTTCTGAAAAGGTTTTCCCACTGGGCAAAGTTCTTTTGTGATTGAATACACGTACTTTCAGCCATCTTGGAAAAAGTACGACCAATATGATATCTGAAATATCATAATATGAAATCAAGCAAATCGAGATCACTGCAAAAATATAGAATTTGTAATTATAATGTGCATTTTGGTTAGAAACTTTCAGAGTGATTTAACTTTATTCAAAAATTAAAAACACGAAAAACGACAGTTTTTTTTGACCAGCTGTTAAAGGGACATTACAGACTATTACGATATGATAAAAACAAACAAATATTTTTTAATACGAAAAACAAAAACATATAAACTGTGCATACTTGCGACAGCTAGTAAAGACCAATCAAAAGTGAACTGATTTTTGTCTGCTCTCGTTCTTTTTACTACAAATGCAGCTCAAGATTAGAATATTAGTGATATGTTTTATTGGGTTTTATTGTAAATTACTTTATGTATTTTATAACAGTACCTGGATGGGCTGGCTAATTGTCACTGCTGCAAGAGCTATACAACTAAAGAATTGTATAAACATACTGGTGAGCTCTATTCAGTGCAGATGTCAGAGACGAACTGGAAAAACATGGAAATTATAAGACTTTTCGGGACTGAAATTTTATTTTAATTAAAACACTACATTAGTTAAACCTTTTCATTGCAGCTCTGTCTAATAAACTGTACTGCTTCTTAATGTCTCAAGATGTTTGCTGCAGTGGGGTCTAACGTTAAGCGTCCAATTAATCTATATAAACCCTTTTAGATCAAAGGTTAAGCGAAGCTGTTGCTGTCTGTATTCTTAGAAAACAGGATTGAATTTTACAGATTTATGTTTCAAGTTGCATAAACTTACATGCTTGAATATAAACAAATTCTAACACTTTTCTTTATTAATCTGCTTTTTAACAAGAAATTAAACTAGATTCTTGACGTATTTTCAAACTTAAAGGGACTGTAAGCGTAATTTCAAATGACTCTCCATGGAAAGATGGCAATGTACAATTTTCAAAGGTATCCTTAAAAGCTTTGTCTGCTCAAGGATGAATTAGATATTAATCTTTATAATTTTGAAAAATAAAAATTTCAAATGTGGTTTCTTTACAAAAGTGACTTGCGCATTTCTACTGGAGAAAATCATGTATGAGTTATCAGAGGTATACAAACTTTCAAACCTCACCTTGAACTATATAGAAGTCCTGGTTAAAATTCAGTGAGTCTTTCTTAACTTTAGAAACCATTTTTACCTATTAAATGTAAATCTTTCGTATTAACTATTTCATACTTTTTGGGGCTATGTGTTTTACATATTTTAATATATTAAGTCTCACCCACTAATTTTAATGTATTTTGGATGAGAGAATAAATTATGGCTGAAAATATTCCGCTATGCAGACAGGATGTACTTTGTTGTAGTTGGTTTTATGTAACCTAGAATATCGACAATATCTTCCAAATTATTGAGCAGATAAAAGTTCCTTTATGACGCGTGGATTGCCATCTTTGCATGGAGGGTCACTTGAATTACACTTACAGTCCTATTAACTTATAGAAATCTTTGGGAAAAGTTCGATTATTTACCCTAGAGATCAGGAACTAAATATATATCCTAAATGTTACAAGATCAAACATTACGTGTATGCTTTTATTTACAAGATCAGTAATCAGAGCGCAAAACGTTGATTTACAATATTAGTTATTGTGTCTGATGTCCAAATCATGATCCAATGAAACAATATTTCCTTAAAGTAAAATAATGTTTAAGCGATTTTGTCCAAAGATTTTAGAACAATTTCTACAGAGCATAGAATATAAAATGAATTAGTTCTCTCTTTTGGCTTACAAACTCTCATTAATCTTTTTGTTCTTTAAAAAACTAGGATGCTGCATCCACACAAAAGTTTAAAGGTTTCATAATCCGAGCCAGTACAAGGATCCAAGTCTAGTCTTTACCGTACCGGTCCGTCTAGTGCACCCAGTATGTGGTTGACCCAACGCGTTTTATGCAAAAGAAAAGAAGGAGGCGGACTGATTAAAAGTGCTTCTAAATGACAAATGTATAACGAAGAAATAAAAAGTACGGTTATGTTAAAGGAAAGAAAAGGGAGGTGAAGGGAAGTGGGAAGTAAGAAGAAATGGAAAGTGATGCTACGAGATGAGGAGCGAGGATATTGTGGGATTTCAAGCAAAGCCAGATTATCATTATATACAGGATTTTAATGTAAGCTTGCTTTTTTGAGAATATATAGTTTGTGGACGGTGAATGTGAGTGGTTTGTTAGAAGAATAAGTGTAGACAGGTCCTCTCAGTATAAAAAGTGATTTATAACTCTCTGGGGGCGGAGAGATGGTTGGCTGTCAGGGAAACCAAGGACAGGGGTTGGGGCACCAACTTATGGTAGACATTAGACATACAGAGATTAGAGATCTGGAGGGAGACATGGCGGGTTAATTTAGGTATAAGTGGGAGAAATTGTTGTGCTTTTGGAAAGAATGATCATAGATGGTTTAACTCAAGGAAAATATGACTGCACATGGGATGGGGAAAAAGACATGGAGTCATACCACATAAATTTACTTAGGAGGTGATGGTTTATTTGGCGTACCGTCCCATTTAGCCTTATATAGTCTTCTTGTCCTGTACAGCTTGCTCTAGCTCCTTGAAAGTGGGCCTGGTACTAGAAATGAACCGGAGTTAACAACGATACAGAAATTGTTAATTTCAATTGAGAAGAGGTTTCATTAGAACTTGAGACTTGGATATAGAGAACGCAGATGGAGATTTATATGTTTATAGGTATATGAATTGTGGGATTGGGAAATGGGAAAAAAGGAGACAATATGTAAATTAAAATGTTTGGTAATAAGCCTATACAAACACATTTATGGAAAAGGATAAGTGGCTTTATTTAAACTTTTTTTACTTTGAATATTTTTATTAAATTATTACAAGAATATTCCTAATTTATTTTTCAACATGTGTGTTCCTACTCCTGAGTCTTAAGTCGCTCATTTTCTGGTGTGATGTTTGACAAAGATTATGCAAAATGGTGTACTAAAAATTGTATCGAAAAGATGGGCGAAAAAGACAAAAGATGAGATTTTAATGACGACTAAAGTATATGACAACCTTAAGGTTGATTTTCTCTCTCTTCAAGGGTATATGAAATGATTTGACGAAAAAAGAAAGGAGTGCATAGCAGAAAACCATTTCACGCAAGAAAAAAAATGATGAAATTCCTTACAGTTGTCTCTAAGGCCTCATCCTTTGTGGGTAACCCTGTATTTCAAATTTTCTCTCTGAAAATTGACAAATTGTTTAAATCCATACGGGTCAGAAAAAATCTGAGACTTGTCGAATTCTTAACAAAAAAAAACTTGATCCCTTTTAACAATACCTGAATGGTTTGCAGTGGAAGATTAACTATAACCTACCTGCATAAAATAGATAAATACCAAATATGCTTTCTGTCTACTGGTGCAGTGCCATACTGTTATATTTTACCTGGCTCTCTAGCTTTTTAAAGGATTTTTAATCTCAAGGTTACCAACCTACAAACAACAGATTATACATATGTGACGGCTAAACTGACAAACAAATCTTGACTATACAATATACATTAACATATTATGTTTCATAATATATTATATCAATGAATAGGCAACATAGCTTCTTAAGCATTTTAATCATAAACACAATATTTCAATCTTTTCAGTATTATATATTTTATTTTCCTAGTTTGTTGTCTCGTTTTATTTCTTTGAGTCCAATAAACATAAAAACGGCTGAACCAATTGTGCCAATTTTTTGTGTGTCAACTCACAACACAGAAAAAAGTTATATTTGATCGAAACGGAATAATGTTGCCTTTTAAAAAAGTCGATATTCACGAATTTTGAAATAAACTAAAATATCATAATTTACACTATTATATGCACATTCTACACATTTCTGATTAGTGGAGTACGGTTTGAATGGAAGATTATATATATATATCAGTTGCAAAATATACTGATACTAGGGTTTTAGGGCGCCCATCTTCTATTTAAATTGTGAACATGTTCTTTTTGTTTACATTTAAAAACAAAGAAAAAATTTTTTTTGCGGATTTAAAAAAAAAATTCGCGGATTTTCAAGAATTAAATTTTTTTTTTTCAAAATTAAAAACCTTTAAAACACATTTTTTTAATTTTTATCATTCATAAACCTTCCCTGGGATAACGCGAGGTGCCACAAAAAATTGGGCCCGATCAGTTCAGCCGTTTTGACGTTTATTGGATACAAACAGACAAGCCAAATTTATATATAGATGCAAGATTTTACTGTTTACTTATTCAACGCTGTGATCCAGCCGACTAAAGTATTTGTTAAATCTAAGCAGACAAAATTTGACACTTTTGAATTGCATTGATTACAATCTAAATACTAAGTGGGCTACGTATTCCTTTTTAAATCTATCCACGTCATACAATAGAGATCGTAACAAAATATTCTTCATATCCAATTTTTAATTTGAAACAATGATGAATCTTTGTAATGTAAATTGCTGAACTTATTTTTCCAAATATAAATTCAAACTTTTCTCAAACATGTTTTATTTTAAAGCATTATAAAAACCTTATAAATGATGCAACATAACTTAATCTTTAGTTAAAAGGGGGCTCATAACCTCATGAACCAAAAATATTCACTATTTTGAATGGAGTCACATATGCATAAAATACCATTATTATCTGCCACCAAACTGAAAAGCAGGTTAACTCAACTTACAATTTAGTAAGCTTTGAATGAACTGAATAAATTGTTAAGTTATTACCTTTTGCCTGTGGCCATGGATATTAGAAAATTGAAACTTAAAAGTAAAGTTACTGCAGAAGTGCAGAAGACAAAATTGTTTTAGCATGGAAGATTGAATAGCTGCGGCTGATGGCTGCCGGAAGACAATAAAGCTAGTTGTGGCATGTGCAATAACTTGGTTCGTTTCTTAATAACTTTTAAGGTTTTTGAACGTTTATAATGTTCCACACATCCCCCCTTAATCATGCTTTTAATTAAGCGCGACAGTGAAGTCTTCCCCGCCTCCTCGCATCATCCGCAACTTCTAAAAAGTCGTCTTTTCTGGAAACCTCTAGAATTTTCAATACTTATTATTGCGGCATTCGGCGCTAAGACGTAAAACAGATAATCAGACACTAATAGTCAGGGTTCATTAGGATGTATCTTTCAATAAAAAAAAACCAACCAACTCAAGATGTTTTATATAGCGCTGCTTCAGCAAACATATTATACATGGTTTAGTGAATTCAAGAATTCTGTACAATCAACGCTGAAGTTGCATTTAGTTTTGAGGCATTGTAGTTATACTTGGTCTGAGTTGGGGTAATTTCCTAATATTCGATTTTTGGACCCCTCCCCCCACCTCCTATCATTTTTGAACATGGATCTCATATGTAACACACTGATACAATTGCATGGTCATGTGGCTGCAGCGCTCGGCCCCTAGTCAGTCCTAGCTGCAGCGCTAAGCCCAGAAATTGTTTTAACCTAACCTTACCTAAAATAATAAAACAATAATAATATTTAGTGGTCGTGTAATTAATTGATAAGAGGGGGGGAGGGGGTCCAAAAATCGTATACTAGGACGGACCCCTGAGTTGGTAACGGCACAAAGGTCAACCCTATTTCTATTGGCCTCTAGAAACATCTTGGGTGGGGAAGGTGGGGTGTGACGTGAAATAATCCCCGGATTTATATCATGTCCTGGTTGCTATGTTTCAAATTTGGAATTATTTCATTTGATCCTGTTACATTTTATACTAAAGGTTTTTTTCATTTACAAGTTTTTAAAGTTAGATTAGCTATTTTTGAATTCTCAGCAAGAAAAACGTCACTTAAAACCAACTTTAGTTTTATACAGGTTTTAAAGTATTTGGGGTTCAGGTATGTTGAAAAGTTTTGAAATAATTATTTTTAAATTCCTTTTAGTTTTTACGGGTGAAATTTAGGGGATAGTGACCTTACTAGTACTTTTACATCATGTCAAAAAAATATTTTGACTGCCTGTAACAAAATTAATTTCATAATAGACTGCAATGGTAAACTACTACTCTGTCCTACAAGTTAAGCAAGATGCCACTGAAGATGAAATCAAAAAGGCAAGAAGGATATTTGTTTTATTTTTTAATCTTTTATTAAACAAAGCTTAACATTACTGATCCTGTGTCATCAAATTAGGTTCGAAAGTTTTAATTTGCTTTTACTAATTACTTCTAATTTTAATACGTAACAGGTAATCGTAACAGGACAATCAAAAGCTATTTTCACGATTGCTTGCACGCCTTGATACTTTTAATGACATTTAAAAAAATTTATTTTTCAATACGTTTTCTATCTGTTCAGGCGTACAAATCTTTAGCTCGCACTTGGCATCCTGACAAGAACCGTAAAAACGAGGAAGAGGCAACAAAGAGATTTAAGGATATCTCTGAAGCTTACACAGTCCTGTCTAACCCATCTAAAAGGCGAGAGTACGACATGAAACGCCACGAAAAATCCCAAGATAAACCTCAACATGGTAGATGGGCCTATAAGTCCAACATGGATACTTCTACACCGGAATTTACTAGATTTAACTCAGATTTTAGTCAAAGAAATGCTGGAGAGAAAACAAAATCTAGATATCGATCGAACAGGAGAAACACCGAATTTCGACGAGATCCTTACAATCAAGACTTTCTTTTTGACGATTTTTTCAAGAACGACTTATTTATGGATATTTTTGATATGTCTGGTATCGGTGTAAGGCCTGGGCGAACTTGTCTGAAAAACATGCGAAATCCTCGCAGTCAATCTGTTTTCCACGGCCATTTCATGGGTCGAGATCGAGGCAGGTTATTTGAAGAGTTTGAAGAAATTGATCGAATTTTTGATAATCTGTTTTCGTTTTCTTCTCACCGAATCAGGATTTAATCTAAGAGAATTTTTTACTTCAAATTGATTAACAGATGAAGTAACATTTCTCCGTCCGACATTGAACAATATTAACAAGAAGATAATCAGAATCCAAACATTTCGTATGTATCCTTAACATATCTTGAATTTTAATGCTACTAAAATTGACCATCTGTTGGTCAATTATCCGTCATATAAACTAACACTGTCGATAACCATGTTCATTTGTTTACTTAATCTTTCTGCGACACAAAACCATTGAAACTACGAAGATAGATACAATATTGAATGGAAACAAGGGCAGCTTCGGTCTGGTCCTGGCCTGGTCCATCCTTTTTAGCTAACCATATACTAAAACGCTCTTATTTCAGATTAGAATGGCAGACTACTACATGTTGCTCGAGGTTCACAAAACGGCACCTGCCAGTGAGATTAAAAAAGCGTACAGAAAACTAGCTCTCAAATGGCATCCAGACAAAAACCCCAACAATGCCGAGGAAGCTACAATTAGATTTAAGGAAATCTCTGAAGCCTATGATGTTTTATCTGATGAAAAGAAAAGAAAGATTTATGATAAATATGGAAAAGATGGATTGACATCAGGTGCCCGACAACAGAGCCGGGGTCGAAGATCAAGGACAGAGGATGGATTTGATGATGAATTTTCCTACGGGTTTCCGTCATTTGCGTTCCGAGATCCATTTGATATATTCCGCGAATTTTTTGGAGGAGGAGATCCATTCGAGGACATGATGGATCCATTTGGAGATCCATTTGCAGGGTTTGGTATGATGGGTGCGAGGAATCAACGTCACGGAGGAGGTCTAGTGATGAGACATCAGCGACGAAATCATCCCATGAACGCCATGTCCCCGTTTGGAGCTTTCGGAGGTTTTGGATTTGGTATGCCTGGATTTGGAATGGGATTCGGTGGTACTCTTCTGGACGAATTAGATTCAGGGTTTGGTGCAAATAGTTCAATTCAATCGTTCAGTAGTTCCTCGTTCGGTGGAGGATCTGGAATGTCCATGAGAAGTTCGTCCAGCTCCACAAGGTTCCTCAATGGCAAAAAGATCATGACAAAGAAGGTTGTAGACAATGGAGTTGAAACCGTTACAACATATGAAAATGATGTTCTCAAATCTCAGACGGTCAACGGTGTTCCTCAAGCAATCCAGGTACACTTTACTGCCTATTTAGACAACTATTTACCAATTCTACAATTACCGCTCTTTCCGCAGGCGTTTTATTTTTATGGTGCAAAGCTATAACTCAATGTTTATGTTGCAAAACTATATTTTTTTCTTTCAAATGATTTTAACTCTATAAAAGAAACAATAGTGCAAAGCTGCTGGTTCTTAAATAACATCTCTCTCTTCAATTGTCTCTATCCGTCTCAAATTTTTTTTATTTTATTAATCTTTACCGATATATTTTTTGTTGTTTTCTTCTGCACATTTTATAAAATCGAAGAAAAATCAAAATGTACATATAGATAATATATATATAAAGTTTATTGTCATTTGCTCTGTACCATTTTGATCAATAAATAGATTTGAATAATAATAATTTACCAAAGAAAAATTAAATTTTGTAAATCAGAAGTTAAACATGTATTTTATTTGTAGGGAGCGGTTCCAACGCAACGAATTTCATCAGGATCCAGAATTCATGCTCACAGTGCTCAGCACGCGCATAATCCGAACACAGTTGATGCAAGGTTGCATGCACTGGGTGCGCGAAGTCATGGTGCCCATGTCGGAGACCCTCGCCTTGCTCACGGTACACATGATCGACATCGAGCACGTCGACATCAATGAATTTTTAGAGATAACATCTAATCAAGTACCAAGTTTTTTCTTAAAGCTTTAAATTTGTATGAAGTTCTCATTCATTGATTTAAAATTTTTTGTTTTAATGTCTGTGCTGGGATGATGCGTTGTTTAAATAGGAAAATAGTTAATTCATAATAAAGACTGAGTTAGAATATGGGGTTTAGTTAGTTTGATTTGGTTTTAAAAATCATTTTCTGTGTTGTAATTCATGAATCCTGTTCTACAACTCAGGGAAAAGCAAATTTAAGGATTTAGTTTTGATCCTTGCATAGAATTTATTTTTGTAGAGGTGAAGTGAATTTTCTGAAAAAAAATCGCCGACATAATCAAACAATTACTCGTGAACTAAGGTTAAAACTTGCATTTTTCTTTAAAAAAATAAACGTCGACTGTAGATAAACAGTGGATTTTAAGTAATATTTACCTTCGCTGGAATTTTGTAATGAACATTCGACACTTTTTTCTGTCAAGAAAATTTAATTAAGACTACTGCTGACAAAAACTTTTGTAAATTCGATTGTTTATAGCGCAACTTCCCTCTATTGTTTAATTACTTTTCGCTATTCATTTAATTTGGTCCCAGTTTAAGCCTGTAAAAATACAGTTTAAACAATGTTAAATCATTCTCTGTAAGATCAAGTAGACTTTTCCGCCCATTTCTAAAATCCTTTTCTGTAAGATCAAGTAATCAAATAATTTGAATAACCCTTTATACATACACTTGGGAAAAGTCAGGGCTGATAATACTTTAAATCTCCTTTAAGTTCGGCTTAACCTTTGATATCTAGAGTTGTCTAGAGATAAAAATAGACTGAAGGGTTCCCTGCCCCTTTTGTGTTAAGGATACTAAGAAAAATGAGTTTAAAACAGTCAGACGTCAGGAAAGGCTAAGGATTCGGTCTGTCCTAAGTAGAGTTTAAAAAAAACCATAAATATAATTTTTAATTTAAATTGATTTTTCACATATAAATTTTATAATAGGGGTGTATATTTTTTACAAAAATCTTATTTTTTTCATCTCTTTGATAATAATTCTTTTACCCATGATGAGTTAGGTATGTTTGAGCTGAGCACCAACAATTTTGAATATGTTTTTTTCCCGCTCAAATAAATGATTTTTAGGGGGAATTAAGCGCATTTTTGTTGGAAAAAGTAGCTAAAAGGATGTAAAAACATGTCCATTAATGTCCACTTTTTCATCCCCCCCCCATTAAAAAATCATTGTCTAATCATTGCAATCTTTAAAATTATACACCCCTGTTGTACATAATCTGTAAAAATTACAAGGGTAAAAGTATTGTTGTAAAAGCATTCCTCATTTTTCAAAAAGTTAAAAAAAAAAAGATGAAAAACTTGCCAGTGAAAGTCAAATTTCACACTTTTTTCCTTTTCAACATAACTGTTCTAAAACTTGTGGTAAATTAGATAAATGATGAATTGATACTGTCTCTGAAGTCCTAAGAAATGCTCCATTCCAGTCGCAATTATCCCAAAGAAAAATTATGTTGTATACAGTAAAAACAAGTAAAATTAGTAAAAATTTTAAAATGATAACTGGGTTTAATTGTGAAGAATAAATGTATTAATAATTTGAATATTTAAAATAATATCAAGGCGTTATATGCACATTAGTGATCAAACGATTTTTTATAGGATTGTAAAATATTCTCAATTTTTTGTTTAATTAAATTCTCAATCTTGAAATATTTCAGAAGAATGGGCGTATTAGAAAGATACTCTCCGGGCTCAGAAGAAGCCCAAGGAATGATTGCGAGGTCAAAGCAAGAAGCTTTAGGTATATTTTAAAAAATAGCGGAAATACAAACTCAAGCAAATTTTCCTCCCGCAGAGCTCGGCCAACTAGCATATTTTAGCCGCTGCGATCAGCCCCATCACAGCATGCGGCTGGGCCTAACCTAGAATAAAAGTAAAAAAATATTAAAATTAAATTTGTTTTATTTCTGCGTAATTTAATCATTTTTGTGTTTGTCTTTCCGGCGATAGTCTTTTCCACAGTTTGTCTGTCAGAAGTTTGTCATGGCCCGTTCTTTAGACTATGTCATGATTTTGCAGGCACTGGCTATCCCCTCCCCCTGTAGACTAGATACCTATTTAAAACCTGGGGAGTTATTACTCAAAAGCTCGATACGAATTGCCTTCTTCAGTTACTTTTTCCAAATTTCTATTTTCTATATGCTCTTGTAGAGTTGATGAATGATGTTTTTGAACACTGGGAACCCAAGCACCAAGCCTGGATCATAAACAAATCATATATTATATCATCTGGGGCAGCTGCACTTCCTGGTCTCATTCTTTCTATTAAATTCAGGTAAAAATATCTTTGTCAAGCATTTCTGATTTCTGGAGGGGGGGGGGGGTATTATTTTCAAAATAGGGGGGGGTGGTAAATGATTTTTTAGGAAAATATACACCTCTGTAAAACATGAAGTTGAGTTTTTAACCCTAAACTTTTTAAAAGGCAGTATTTCGAAAATAAACATGATTTTTTAGTAAAAGTAAAGTTTTTCTTAAAAATGATTTAAATTGAAGTTTAAATAATAAAAGAATTACGTTGTATTTTAGGAAATTACTAGGTTTGCGGAAAATGACAAAAATCCAAATGGCTACTTTGCCTGCGGCCACAGTGCTTCCTGGGATTATGGCAGGAGTAGGACACAAGATTTTAATCACAGACGATATTCTTATTCAGGTATGTAACACAAGACCCTGTTTTTGCTGCCGTTATTAGACTTATCTAGGATAATGTTAGTAAGAGTTAAAATAATTCAAATATTTCAGGAGACTGAATGTCCAGTATGTGTAGATGTTCGTTCTAGCGTTATTCAATTTACAGCAGGGTTTATTTTTCCGCTTTTCTTTTCTTATACTGGAGCAGCAATAGCAGCTACAGCAAATAATGCCAGGTAAATTAGTAAACCTAGGAATAGCGTGTTTAAGTACATTTCCTTGATAGTTGATGTTGTTCAATTTTACTACAGTATATGCCAGATTTTTGGAGAAATAGAAAGAATTCGTAAAATGTCGCCTTGAAATTCTCTTACAAACTTTATTGAAACAAAGATGGTACAGAATTGCGTAAAATCCATATAAGTAGAAATAATAAAAAATACTCAAATATTGAAATTCATCCTGTGATTCATGCCACTGCACGTTAAGTAAGCAAAAGGATTACTGAAGCTTATCTTTCTAAGCTGTCAACGATTTCTGCTCTCAACTTCAAAGGGATATGCATAATTCTAATCAACATTTTCGTGTTAAATGTCCGAGTTATTCTGAATGAAAATTATCTAAATTTACGTATACTTTGTAATTATAAATAGCCCTAAAAAATAAAAAAACATGTATCAACCAATTTCATATAATTAAAAGCTGGTTTGTTTTTAAATATTAAAACACAAAATATCTGTGGCACTTATCAGAACAAAAACCTTCCAGGTGACATTATAAAAAATCTTACTTTATCTCCAAAAAATCGGGAATTTTGTGTAGTTTGTTAGAGAAAAAACCACATATACACATTAGAAATATATCTGATAGAATTTGCATTTAGTGTATGTGTGGATTCGTACTATTTAATACAAGTTTAGGCGGCATCATGGTTTTTGAACGGGACTTTTGATCAAATTTTATGTGACCCTACATTTAAAGTTAAATGCCCATGCACAAAGGCAACTTTTAAACCGTCGTATGAGCAAAAAAAGATGGGAATAGCTGTGTCATTCTTTCTAATAGTTGCTGTTTCTCTGTAAAAGTGATTATCTCTAATGAAGATAGAACAAATTACGATATCTTCACCATTGCCTCTTAGAAAAATAATGAAAGGGTTACTTCGTGAATCTGACATGTAATTCTTTTAAACGGAAGATCACTTAAAATTACGTCTACAGTTTCTGTGAATGATCATATTTTGAATATATGCGTAAAGCTGCAGTGTATGGAAAATTGACATGGAACCAAGAATATTAAAAAAATTCAAATTATTTTTCTTCATATTAGATGTGTTTGTTAAGGATTGCTCCCAACAATTTGAAGGGGTGGATACCTGTTACAAAGGTTATATTTGGCCGTATTCCAATCTACTTGGGAGGATTAGCTCTGATTCAATTAATAACTTCCGGAGGTAAAATTTTATGACAAATCTAATCAAGTTGAGAGTGCATTCGACCTATAGGCTCTTTACGATACTTTCCCTATAAAATAAAAAATTCAACAATAAAAATATTTTTAGAAATAGTGTGTGTTTAATCTAGAAATAATAATAACTATTGTTGTTTTAGTTTTAGTTCGAGAAGAATATAATTCCCGAGATCTCGTGTTGGCTGAACTAGAGTCAAGATTTATAGCAGATCAGCGCAGAAAACAGATTCAATAGATAGATCTCTAGACAGGAGAAATATTTTCATAACACAGGTCTACCTGGTTAAAGAGAAGTTTATCAGGTTTTTTGTATTTTCAGAAAAATGTCAGATTCAGGAAAAAAACTGTTTAGTCAGGAGATGAGAGAAGTAACACGCAGTATACACAATAAATCTGATACAATGGTCAACGCTAAACTCGGAGTCACCATGAGCGATGATTCCGTCTGGGCTGAAGGTATTTGATTTTATTGAGGAAGCGGTCTGTTGTTTGAAAAAAAAAACACGAATTGTGAATTTAAAATGTGTCTTTAAAATATGAATTAATTCTTTTTATCAAAAATATAGTTGGCCATGAAGAATTGTTGAATTTGAAAAATTGAATAGTAGACGCTCCTTTTCTGCAATTGCAAGGGCAAAAACATGTGCGTTCTACTCTGTAATAAGTACCTAACATGGTAATATTTTAGTTTAGCAACTATTATCTTAATGCTGATACCTATGGTTAGTACGAATACAAATTAAAATAACTTTTTATTCAAAGCATTCAATATTAAATTAAAATTCAGCATGATGAGTTTACATTACAATATTTTAGGTCTTCTTGTGTTCTATGAGATCTTTAAATACCTAGAAGATGCTCTGGATCGTTATAAAGATTCATTAATCGGCGATCTCCTCATACCAGGGATGTCTCGCACTCACGCCTTCGAAAACGATTTAGATCATTATCTTGGAAACTGGAGAGATGAATATATTATTCGTCCTGAGGTTCAAGCATATCTCGAACATCTCAGGTTGGATTTTAGCATCATAAAAAAAGAAATTAAAATGTGTTCTTGAGAGTAAATTGTGTGCGTTGTAATATTGCAGAGAATTAAAGAAAAACTTTTTAAAATTGTGCTTCACTCAGTCTTGTATATTTGGGGTTTCCTATGAAAGTTGAAAGGAGTTGTTTATATCGACAAGCCAACATAGATTAGTGACAATAAACTTTACCTTTTTTTAGAAAACTGGAAGCTGACAACCCATACTTGTTAATTGCATACATTTATCATTTATATATGGGACTTTTCTCCGGGGGACAAGTGCTGAGAGCCAAGGTAAAAAGAAAGAAATATTTGAATATCTTGACCATACTGTGTCAAGACTCAAGAATAAAACAAACTCCGTCTTCTCAGAGCTACCTACATTCTAATTAATTGATGGTTCTATACCACATCCATTGAATAACTCTGTTGAAAAGTTTACAATGAATTTGAAATCATTTGCGATTTTCTTCATGCTTTTGTGTCAAAATATATACAAATGCATAAGCTAGAAGATATTAATTTCTCTGTTTAAAGATTTTTTTCTTCGTTGAATATTAAAACCTTTCTTTGTTAAGAGGTTTCTGTCCTTAAGTTCCGTGGATAAAGATGGAGGAAATTCAGTTACATCATATGAGGATACATCTATAGGATCACTTAAAAAACAACTCAAGGCCGCAATCAATACACTTGTTGACAACCTAGATACAGATACTAGACAGGTAAATTTACTTAATTAATCCTGTGGTGTTAAAAATAAGCTATTTTAACGAATTTTTTCGAAAAATGGTTTATTGGCTCTTATCATGAATAAATCAACAAATCATTGCAGTAATACTGCTGTTTCATTATTATTATATTTTTATGCATATTTAGTTAGTAAATAATTAAATAAAAATAAATAGAGTCTGCCACAAACTCTGATTTTCTAACCCCTATATCTTATGAATTCTGTTAGATCAAATAATTTAAGATTGAAACATCAAAGGTGTACATTAAAAGGTTGCAAAGATATAAGGATTAGAAAATTTGAGAATTTGGCAAAGGCTCAATGTACGATAGTTTCATACTTGGGTAGTTCCTAGGTAGCTGTTGGCTTGCATTGGGGCGATGACTAGTCATAAGCCTGTTCCCCTATTGTTGATACACAATAGATCCGTGTCATTATTGGTGCATTAATGTTCTCCTTGACTAGTTTTCATTTATTTGATAATAACCAGTTTTAGCGTACTGCACGTTTATACCAGTTACAATTTTCTTTTTCATTTTTCTCAAATTTTTCATTTTTCATAAAATCCCCCCCCCTCTAGAAAATGTTTTTTTCCCCGGTTGGTATGTATGCGCATTGCGCAAAGCATGTTTGCGGTTACGGTTTATTTTTCGCACTACTCAAATTAGGTCTTTTTTGTTTATCAAATTGTACAAAAAATCCGATCGTTGTTTATTGAAACTTGACCAGTTACAAGTTAATTCACATTGAGAACTAAATCTAACGTGTATATTCAAGAAAAACAAATGCAAAAGCAAAAATTGACTTGGTTTGTAGGTTATGTATCTCTGTGCGCATGAATAAATATTTGCAAAAAGTACATTTCAGTTTTTCCCATGGTCAGATTTAGAGATAGAGTCTTCAAAACATCTCTGAATTTTCTTACAATCATGATAAACAGATTTGGAAATATGTTTGATATATAATGATCAAGTTTGTTTATCATGACTTCAAGATAATTTACAAACGTTTTAAAACTGCTTACACTAAAGCTGTTCATGAGAGAAGCTGAAATGTGCTTTTTAAACATATTTCTCAATGCGCTCAAAGCTATATAACCTACAAACCATGCCAAAACATAAAATGATCAGATTTTTTTTATAAATCCTAAAAACCTGATATTTGAGAAGTGGTCGCTGAATTGTATAACAAAAAGTATAAGTATAAAATATAAGCAAAAGACAAATTCAAATTAAAGTGTTAAAGGAGGAATTATATAAAGAGGTCCATAGTGGAAGTTTCAAAGTCAGAAAAAAAATATTTTTTTTTGGCGAAAATATAAATATTTTTTTTTTGTGGACTAAAGAATTAAAATTAAAAAGTTGATTCAATATTGTGATCTTGAATAATGTCGTATTTTAAATTTAGGGAATTTTAGAAGAAGGAATAAATGTATTTAAACTCAACAACACTATAATTGCCAGCGTGAAGGGAGTTGACATGTAAGTAGATAACGGCTTTTTATATTTTTATAATTTGTCATGAAAATAAATACAGATAAAAATGTCGCGTACATTCCTGTTGCGGACAAATGTTCAAATTAAAAATAAAATGCAATGATAAAATTGGCACAAGATAAATGTATCTCCTCTTGGTCCATTGTCATTTATATATGGAAGCTCTACGCGCATTATATATATATATTATATATATTTATAAGTAAGCTATTGCTTGCCAAACGGCTGAACCACATTTTTTAGGAAACCCATGGTTGGGGTAGCAATGGGTTTCCTAAAAAACATAGTCTAAAATAGTTATAGATTTTTAAAATTTCAAAAGGCAATGCCTGGCACTTCAGCTAATATCATAATTCAAGTGGGGGTAAACGACGGAAGTAACTATCAGGCCCGTAGCTAGGAGTTTCTAAAGGGGCGGGGCACAAAAATAAATAATAGCATAGATCGATAAGCATTCTTAGTCTGGAAATAAAACATATATTGATTTTCAAAGGGTAAACAAAAACCCCCAGACAACCATTCTTATGTGGAAGTATATATTAGTAATACTTTGCTTGCTTGTGATTATGTAAAACAATCACAAAATACAAATCACATTGGTATTACGTTACACAGATATACAGAGTAACATTCATACTATTTTCTTTTCTTCAACTATTTTTTCCCTTTCTTCTCTTCTTCATTATCAGATGAGGATGTAGAAGATGAACTACTTGAGAAACTATATTCCACCTCCCTCCCCTTTCTCTTCAACTTTTTCCTGCTCTTCCTTTCCTTCTTCTTCTACATCACTTTTCTTGCTTTCTCGTACATTCTACCCCAGATTGCTCCTCTCAGTTTTTCGCAATTGCTCTTTAAATCCTTTAGAAGTTCCTTCTTCTAATCAAAACTTTTCCTGCTTTTCTTCCCACATCTTATTTTCAGCAACAGTATTTGAGTTCTCTAGAGTTATTTGAAACACTTCGCTTTGGTCAGCAATTTTTTCAGCATGCTCTAGAGGGATTTGGTCATCATTCTGGGCTTCTTTGACAGCGATTTTTTCAGTTAGCTCTAGAGAGATCTGATCATCTTTCTGAACTTCTTGCTCTCCTCTAACTTCACAGATGAACTCGATCTCTTCATCATTTTCTGCATTGTTGACTAAATTTACACTTTTCAGCTTCTTCCTCAAATCCTCTGGCGACAAGTCTAGCTCTTTAGAGCTCCACCTTTGTCAGTTATCACCCAAGTAGAAGAAATGTAATCTTGGCCTAGGTCTCCCACTTTATCATATGTCTGGAATTCTTTGTGTTTAGCTAATTCTGCAGTCTTGGCATCAAAACAATCCTGTGTGTTCTGATCTATTCTTGGAATCATTACATCATATGCTTCCTCAGTTTCTTCTGGCATCTTATTTAGAATTTCAAATTCAACTTTTTCCAGATCAACACTTTAAGGAGGTTTGCCATCATGTCTGACTTCATTAAACCAGTTTCCTTACTTTCCTGTAGCCTTTCCTGCTCTTCCTGAAATGGTTACATCTACCCACTCTTCTCCCTCTCGGAATCTTACCATGTCATCTTTCTTAACTTTTATTCCATCTGATAATCTCTTGTGACTTCATTATTATTAACAGTGTTATCATTATCTTCAGAAAGTTCAACTATTTTAGAACTTTAAACAGTTTCTGAAAGAGAACCTTCAACATGAAATTGACTGGTGTTGTCAGTCAATGTGTTCAGATATTGTGATCAATCTCCTGAATGTCTTCATTTGCTAAAATGAACTTGGCAAGTTCTGATCCTGCTTTAACAATCCTGTTAGCACTTACTCTGATAAATGTAGCACCATTCCTAAAAAAATGACTTTCCCATCTTGGAAAATATCTTTTCCTGGACCCATCCACTTTTCATCTTTAGCTCTTTTGTAATACACAATGTCTCCATTGTTGTGCACTGTTTCCATGCATCTTATTTTTGCTTTTAGAGAAATGTTCAGCTTTGAACAGCTTTCAGACTTGAGAAATTCTCTCCTTGATGCATGCAACAGATTTGCTGAAAATTATCTAGGTTTCATTCTCTGAAAATTGAGATTCTGACTCTGTTGACTGCATAATGCATATTTATATATTGACGAGAAAAAGTTTAGGTGTTTTGACTTAGAACCTTGATGTCCATTTTCAGGAGAAGGAGTGGTAGATTTAAAGTTAAATGATTTTCGTCTTAGCTTTGCTCTTCAAAATTTCAATTTTTTAAAACTAAATTGTATCAAAATATCTGTAGCGACATTAATTATTAAAAGACAGAGCGAAAACGACCAGCATTTAGCTTTGTTTTTGGTTTTACTTCACGGCCCTACCTTCCCACACTCTTTCGTGTTTATCATGTGCACTGTTTTTATATTATTATTATAAATATAGTGACAAGATATCATAGTGCGCAATCCCGCGCAGGTCTTTCGGGGTCTATTTATTTGATAGATATAAAATACCGTGTTTAATTTCAATCCTGATTTTAATTCCAGAGTTCTGCGACGTCGTTTACTCAAACTACTGATTGCTGTTATACTGCTGGTTCTCTTCCTGCTCACATTCGTGTACAGTACTGGAACTAGTGAACATGTAGAGATGGAGAGCTATAGTCTGGAGAAGGATAAACTAGAACTATAACAAAGAAATGTAGACTCCAAAATAGTATAACAAGTATAAAAAGTTTGGAGAATGTGTCCTAATTAAACCTTATCCAGCTTAATGCACCCCCTTTTCTTCAAAAATAAAAGTATTTCAGAATTTTCTTAGGAATTCTTAGAATGATATTTTTCTCTTATTATTATTATTCCTCTATTAGAATTTTATTGTATTTTAATAATTTAATCGCCCTTTTCAGATAGACCTTTTATTTAATAATTATTAATTACATACAGCATTCAGAAAAACTATAAAAGAATTCTTTCAGATGATATAAATTAAACCCTGGATGGAACAGAATGAAAAATGTTTACACTCGTTTTCAGTTTATGTTTGCTAGTTCAATCTAGCCTTGCTCAAACCCAAGGTAAAAATTAGTGAAAGCGTGCTATATTAAGGGAGTCCGGTATATACTCCACACTTTTTTTGCAGTTGAAGAGAAATTATAAAACATAAATGATTTTATGTAGATGGAAGTCGTTGTTCATGTGTACCCGGAGGTTCATGTGAATCTGAACCCTATGGTTCACTAGCTCTAGATATCAGTGTGCTCGGTCTGTTTCCACCCTGTCCTACTCATGGATCAATTAGATGCTGTTCAAGGAAATTAGGAGATAATAATATTCAAAGAACAAAATAAACTAAATTTAATCCTAAGCGTCAATAAGTGGCTATATTATCTGTCTTATCTGTTAATTAAAAACCTCACTCCTGGTTTAAAGACAGGGACTAGAAGCTTTGTATGAAGGTATGTTACGAGCAGCAATATCTCAGAACGATGTTGGGAGAATTAAGGTAAGTTTATTTTATCATAGGATGTGGTCTATACCCTTTCCGATCTATCCATTATGTCTTATTTATTGTTTACGCTCTTAGCTCTTCAGCCACTTTAATATGTTTCAGTCTTTGTTTTAAATGATTTGATAAATCTTTAACGATAAACTTCTTTTTATTAAAGATCCGACCATTAGTAAGTGTGGACGCTCTGATCTCAGAGGTTAAGAAAATAAAGGTAAAAATTTGCCCTAAATATAATTCTTCTCTTTAACATATAACAAGAACCAGGTTTTAATGCTGAAATATTGTTTTTTTTAAAACTCAAAGTTTAAAGACACGGAAGAAAATAACGTTTGGTTTTGTTTCTAATTCTTGAAAAGTTAAGCTCAGTCTGTCTAGCTAATTTGTCAATCAATGATAAACCTGGAATAGGAGGATGCCGGTATGGAGTGTGGATGTATACCTCGTGGGATCTGTATGCAACATCTGACCAGACAGACAAGGGACTGTAGTGGTCAACATGAGCTTTGCTGTATCCCGCAGCATAAACATAATGATGTCGTCGTCAACGTTTTCTCAAATCAGGAAAAGGTGAAGAAAAACAGGAATTTAAATTGCACTTTCGAGATTCCCCCAAATCGTGGTAATGCTACTTTTGTTTTGCCTATTACTAGCAAGTTCTATAGTTTTTGGATAAGATTAGTTTAAAGTTTTTTCTCCCTGTACCACCCAACTTTCTTTTTGGGCCTATAAGATAAGCAAATTTTACATACAGGAAAGAAAAGTTAATAAAGTTCAGACATAAATGAAGAAGAAAAAATATAGCATAGTCCCCGTTTACTCAACAGTTAACACTTAGGTCATTTAATGTTGTCATTTCTGAAGGTATGGGAAAGTACTACAACTACTCCTGTACCAAGATCTGTGAAACCCCAACATGTGAAACCCCAGCCCGTGTTTAGGCCTCAATCTGCAAGGTTTAAAGAACTGATTCAATTAATAATATCATAATTTATTAAATTTGCTCAGTTTCCAATTAATTGAGCTAGAGTAAAGTTTTGTTTTAGAGCGCACATTATAGGCGCTTAAAAATAAATTGAATTAAAGCAAAATTAATTATCAATAGTCTGACAAGCACAAAGACCATTTGATAGGTCTAAATCGACGTTTTCAATTTAAATAATAAGTATATCAACAAGAAAAGATGAATCTTAAAATTAAATATCATTATCCATTATCCACTTCTTAGTTTTGTTTGCGGATTTTGTCCACAAATTTTGTCTGTAAAACATCCTTCACTACGCGCTGTATGTTCAGACGGCCAAAAAGGTTCTGGGAAAGCCTTGTTGAATAAAATTCTTTTGATTTGCTTAACATTGATGTTGCAATTAATCCTATTTTTTAATATTTTGATACTCTTTTAGAAATCAACTGGTGAAGAAATCTGACATCGATGGAGATAATGTGGTGAGCAGACCCAGGGGCACACGGGAGTTATAGTATAGAAGGGAACAATTTTTCTGTCCCCCCTGCCCCTCCATTCTCCCATGTAACAGATGTTTGAATCCTTTTAAAACCCCCTATTTATAGAAAGGATATTTTTATTTATCTAGGCTATAAGCATATAAGGCAAATATAAGGTTCAAATAAAACAGATAATAATAGTATCAATAATAGACAGAATTAAACATCGTTGGTAAGGCGAAATAACACTAAGTCCACACGTCCTTGGGTACCTTCCTGTTTCTTTTTGATATCCTCTTTCCAACTGTCTCTCTTACACATTATGAACTAACTTGGCTTCTTTTGCAGGGTCTTTTGTGCCTGGAAGCTACTGACTGTAACAAGGTGTATGGTTATGATGCTCTTGATATTGCAAACTTTGGCGTCCTTTCACCCTGCTCTAAGCGAGGGTTCCATAGGTAGTGTTGAAAATAGGATTTATACAGGGGATTTAAACATATTTATTTAAACTTTATTTTTTTCCAGGACGTATTGAAAAGATTTTAAACACTCTTCTAAAACCCGCTTTTCCGCCTATATTTAAGCGTTTTAACACGATGAAACTAAAGATTAATTCTTTTAAGTCTCTTCTATCATTTTATAATATTTGTATAGCAAGTTTGATATTACCGTTTCAATCTATCGTATCTGTGTTTCTTTTCATAGAACAATTTTTCCAGGTGCGTGGAACCTAAACCTTATGTTCACATTGAAAAGAAAGAAAACATTCAGAATCATCTCTCAACAACCCAACCTGTCCAATCAACAACATCCACTACAACCACTACAACAACAACAACGACAACCACCTCATCCACTTCTTTAAGTCTAGGAAGTGTTCAATTTCCTGATCAAAATGTTAGATTTGTTCCCTGTGTACAGCCACACAAATGTCTAGGTTCAGTTTATGACATCAGCAGTGGAGAGCATTTAACTAGATACGGTGTTCTCCCACAATGCAGTGACGGAATGATCAGGAAAATTTCATGTTCTTTATTTGAAAGTAATTTTTTTCTTAAAGTTCAAATGAAATTTGATTTGTATTGAAATATTTTTCTAGTTCAAAATGAAATTATTGACAGGTGTATTTTTCAAGTTGATTTGGGGATTTTTTCCCATCTGGATAACATAAACCTTCCTATCTTTACTATGGACGAGGAGAGAATAAAACAGTTCTTCAAGGAGGATACTGCTGAAGATAATTTCGGGGAGGACGAAAATCATATGAAAGATGCTAAAACTGCAACTACTAATATTGTCCAGGATTATTCCCATCTCCATACGGATGAAGACAGTTCAGTTGAGTTCTTCAATCAACATAAGATATTTAATGGGAGAAAGAGTTTAATCCTGACAAACGATGATAACCCATTTGATCCTCTTTCAATGTCATCAACCCAACCTACCGCGAGGATTGAACAGTCCTCTGAATCCCCACTGTTATCTCTCAAAAGGTTTAGTCAATCCGCCAACACTAAACCAACCTCTAGATCTGTCATCTCCACAACGCCTCAGGAGTACAGATACGCCGCAACGACAACGGAAAAAACGACGGATCTACGAAAATTCTTTGGAAGTCCTCGTCGCAACAATATCATCGATGCTATTAGGGAAAGAGGAAGAAATAAATCTGTGAAAGACAATGATCAAGAAAGTGACGCAGACAAGTTTAAAGCTCAGTTCGCACATTTTGAGAAAAAAGCCTCCATTGATATGGATAGGAATGGAAACCTTGTGATATCAGGGGGGCGAACGGTTTTCCATCTTCCCCCTGGGATTTCTCCACCTGGGAGTGATCAGGTCACCTCTCCTCAGCAGGAGAATGGTTTAGGAAAAACTAGTAATCAACCTAATATCCCGCAAACAAGGGAGGAAGAGCCGATCTTTTTCGATCCCCAAGAGGCGCCTCATGTCATTGATGCGCTGAAGAACAGCAAGAATGCCGTGATACAAGTTTTAACTGATGATAATCAACAAATGGTTTTAAACGTAAAGAACGATCAACTCCTATCTATTCTTCAAGCCCTGCACTCAGCGCTGGATAATGTACAATCCTGATATCTCTTTTTTCCAGGTACAATGACTGAAATCACTCTAAGTAACGGCGTGAAAATGCCTTCAGTACTTCTGGGTACCTATAGAACCCGGGGACCTGCTGCTGTTGAATTATCGGTGAAATCAGCTCTAGAGAGTGGCTACCTTGGTATAGATACAGCAGCGGTCTATAGAAATCATAAGGATATTGCAGGAACCCTTGCTAAAACTTTGCCAGGCCTAAATCTTTCTCGTAGAGACATATTTCTTACGTCAAAACTATCTCCTCAAGACCATGGAACAGAAAAATGCAAGGATGGAATATTGAAGTGTTTAGATGAATTAGAAACTGATTATCTTGATCTGTTTCTTATTCACTGGCCTGGGGTTCAGAAACTTCAATTAGATGATCCTCAAAACAAACTTTTAAGGTTTGGTATTTCATTTTGGTCATAAAAATCTTATTAATCAGAAAGATGCGGTGCTATGTCACTGGCTAGTTGTCTATGCATAATTGTATTAATGACTTCATTTTGAAAACATCAATCTTTTTTACTCCCTTTATGTCTAGTAGTTTATTCATATTTTATTTCTTGTTAAGAGCTGAGAGTTGGAGAGTTCTCGAAGATTTTTACAAATCTGGAAAACTTCGATCCATTGGAGTATCTAACTATACCGTTCAGCATTTGGAACACTTGATGGAACACTGTACAGTTGTTCCTCATGTAAATCAGGTTAGACATTTAGTGGAACCCATAAAAGTGCGGAATATGAAGACAACGTTTATGCATTTTTTGTGTATTTGACATGTTTATAAAGCAAAAAGTTTTACCAATAGCTTGAAAATCAACTTATTAATTAAAAAAGTTTATTTTCACTGCACAATTGCTTTTTTATGTTTATTGGACTATCAAAAATCATAACTGATAGTCCTTATAGTCCTTTTCTTTTTCCGCAGTCGTATGGGTTCCACTTTACGCAGCACTAACCTTACTCACAAAATTTAGAATTTTACTAAAAGTTGTTTTGATTTTTTTACAGCTTTTTCAACCATTAGTGTCCTGTATAATTTGTGAATTTTACTTTTGAAGAATTTTTTGAACCTGAGTGTTTAGGTTGAGCTTCATCCTCACTATCCCCAGGATGATCTAGTTAAATTCTGTTCAACACATTCTATACATCTTCAGGTAACTGGATTTTATTGTNCAAATAACATAATGAACACTGAATTGGAAAAAAATAATTTATTTTATGGGAAACAAATAATTTTTTTGGTAAGTATCAAAAAAAGTGAAGAAAAAAACTTGCTTTTTGATGAATTTTAGAACTTGTGCCCAAACGCATCAAAAAGCAATCCCCTTAGATCATGCTGTTTTTCATGGTTTATTTGTTTTACCAATATCTGGTTCATTTAGGCCTACAGCTCACTGGGACAAAACGGCGTATCAGGCAAATTGTTATCGTCTAAATCTGTTCTTGAAATAGCCTCCAACATAGATAAAACTCCAGCTCAGGTAAACAAGTTGATGACTTTTTTACGTCAATTTTAATATAAGTAATCTAGATAAATACTAAATTTACTTGTTATCCCGCCGCAGGTGTTGCTGAAGTGGGGAGTTCTCAGAGGATTCTCCGTCCTACCCAAGAGTACCAACCCAGAGCATATCAAACTTAATTTGAACCTGGATTTTCATATATCAGACCTTGACATGACCACCTTGAACAATCTACACTGTACAGAGTTTGAAAAGTACGCGTGGGACCCTGCTAATATTATCTGATTTCAGATAAAAATGTTCCGGTTGATGAAAAGCTCATCAACAGGGTTCAAGCAGATAATATTGTCTCACACATCAGGCATCCATGAACACCTTTCCTATTATCTTTTCAGTAGATTGTTAAAACATATATTCACTAGATGTATTGTCCATTCTTAATTGTTCGATAATATCTAAACACAAAGCTGATGATGATAATAGTGACTTCTGATACTTTATTTGTTAGATGTTGCATGACTTCTGATACTTTATTTGTTAGATGTTGCATGACTTCTGATACTTTATTTGTTAGATGTTGCATCAACGGTAGGAAAAGGATCTTGTCTTCCTTAATATTTATATTACAAATAATTAATTTATCTTATAATTAAAATCTGCATCAAAATAGCTGTAATTACATACTTGTATCAACTTTTATACTTGAATGTGATGATGATATCATGATAATTAATATAAGCTTGGTATTTTTTATCATTTTCAAGAATTTCACACAAATCTTAATTCTTAAAGGGATATTTACCTGACGGTTAATTCACATAATACTAAGGAAATAGGAATAAGGGGAAAGGAAATGGCGCTGGTCTGGCATGAGAAAGCCAGTCGCACTGCTTTGGAGACAAGTTCGGTATTCCTTACACACACTCTTTTGGTACAGACACACAGCATGACTACAGTCAAGGAAATTGCAGAACAATGTTGTCAATTATAATTAAGCATGAATAACGACTATTTTATTGTAAACTTTAATCTAATTATATTCTGAGCATGAAAATTTGGCTTATAGTGTTGACTTAAATATACAAATAATATACTGCATGTATATTAAACTTATTTGTAAACAATTAACAATAAACAAATGTACTCTCCTAGACTGTACAAATATCGAGATTTGTATGTACTGTATATACCTATAGTACACACCTTCGGTTCGGTAAACTTTACACACACTCTTTTGGTACAGACACACACACATGACGTTTCCGCCCCCTGATAATACTCCATTTTGGGGGATTAGGATCAAAGCTTAACATATCTTACCGTAAACAGATTTTAATGTTCAGTCAGAAAACGAGGATAAAGTAATTTTTGCGTTTTATACATGAACATTATTGTGCGGTGTTTAAATTGTGGTACTAACCCCCAAAATTTTGGATATTTTATAAGCTAAGGATTTTGAAATTTGTGATGAATCCTTTTAACGTGTAAGTCATGTAATATATTTATTATTTATGCATATTATAACTTAAAAATCTACGTTCTGAAAGCGTAACGGTCTACAGACCTCTTATGCGTATCTACTATAAGCTTTCTTCTAAACAGCTGTTCAGTGTTGATAGTGTGGCTTTACATGTAAAATAAACACTGTAACTTTAAACAAAGATAACTTGTTTTTTCATTTAACAGAACTTGTACGAAAATGTGCAAAGTGACTCAGAAGTTGTATTAAAGGGAGTGACCGGCTATGTAAGGTAGTTGGACGGGGTATGCAGTGTTGTGGAAAACTTCTGTCGGATTCATTTGAGACATATTAAACTTTTTAAAGATCTGTAAATCCTGAGTTTGAGCGCAAATTCGACGTTCAAAACTCCTACTTTGGGGGTGGATACGTTTTCAGAATTAGTTTTTTTAAATTATTAAATAATGACGACATAAAATGTAAAAAAAGTTTTACAATAAACTACAGACGTCATGTATAGGAACATGTTGAGAAAGTAAAAATTAATCTTATCATCGAAAATAAGTAATCTTTTTCAATTATTAGTTTCTATTTTCTCATTATTCTGGTTTCTCATTATTCACAAAGATTTTCGCAGATTTTCTAGAATTATTATTGAAAAGACGACATTTGAAGAATTTGTAAAAATCTGTGAATAAATTCAAAGAAAATAAGAAATTCAATATGATAATGAAAACGAAATAATCGATTTTAGCATTGATTTATTTACAAATTTCTTTTGAGAAATATGTCCCTAACCATCTAATTAGATTACTGTATAATTTTTACTTTATTTTTCGTTGTCGTTATTTAATAATTAAAAAAACTAATTCTGAAAACATATCCACCCCCAAAGAAGGAGATTTGAACGTCGAATTTGCGCTCAAACTCAGGATTTACAGATCTTTAAAAAGTTTAATATGTCTCAAATGAATCCGAAAGAAGTTTTCCACAACACTGCATACTCAGTTTAACTACCTTACATAGCCGGTCACTCCCTTTAATGAGTATTTTACTAAGCTGTCTGGTCTTGTTAACAAGCTGTATGGATAAGTATATTATTAAGCTGTATGGATGAGTATATTACTAAGCTGTATGGATTAGTATATTACTAATCTGTATGGATGAGTATATTACTAAGCTGTATGGATTAGTATATTACTAATCTGTATAGATGAGTTTATTACTAAGCTGTATGGATGAGTATATTACTAGGCTGTATGGATGAGTATATTACTAAGCTGTATGGATAAGTATATTACTAAGCTGTATGGATGAGTATATTACTAATATCTGTATAGATGAGTATATTACTAAGCTGTATGGATGAATATATTACTAAGCTGTATGGATGGGTATATTACTAAGCTGTATGGATGAGTATATTACTAAGCTGTATGGATATATTACTAAGCTGTATGGATGAGTATTTTTTACTAAGCTGTATGGATGACAGATGCCCGGGTTGGGTTAAGACTGCTCAGTATAAGCGCTGCCAGGCTACAGTCTGGTGAAACACAAAGTCTGAGCTCTAGTGAAACATACACTCAACTCAGTGAACAAACTAATAATACAATTAATAATACCAGAGAAGAACTTCCGGATTCCTTTAAATCAGTTTTTGAAAATGAAGAAACCAACATTATCAGCAACCTTGCTGAACCTTCCTTTCTAGAGTTGGGTAAGTAAATTATTGTCTAAAATAAGAATAAATCATTAAGATACATTAGCCGACCAATCAATCAATCATTTACATTGTAAATATTTTAATGCATAACAAAACCAGAAATATCAAAGGTAAAATTTACACCACGTTAGAAAGTGGTATTAAGAATCGGAAGACATTTTACTAAAAAGCTCAGGGGGGTGGAATAAAAAATTAGACATCAAGGTTTATATTTTTTACCCTGTTTAATAATTGTTAACCAAAAATTCATTGATTTATTTATTTAAAAATTATAATCTGAGTGGATTGACTTTTTAGAAAAGTTCTGTTTCCGGGCAAAGCTGGATTCCCCAGCTAGTATATGGATATAAAGAAATAAACTCTATTTTATTTCTGTTTGTATTTTCGATCATAACTCAAGAATTCCTTGACCCATTCATCTCAAATTCTTAAAGGGGAACTCGGAAGAATTAAAAAAATTTTTGTATTTTGGTTTAAAGCAGAGCGTCAAAATTGTTTGTTTGTTGTATGTTAGCCATAGTTGGGGAAATCGTAACATTTTAGAGATGAAACGAAAATAACAAAATGTTACATTTCCCCCCGGTTAACATCTATGATAGGTAATATTTCCCTCAGATTAACCTTTTTGGCATAGGAGGCTTTTTTCTGTAGGATGTTTACCCAATTAGAAATTCCACGTAGACGCCGCCGCCGGGAGACTTAAGCTAATTTATAAACTCCTTTGTTAGCTATTGTTTTTTATTGATAATCATTTGTTATTTGCACTCCTTGATCTTAATATCCATTGTTAGTTATTCTTTTAGTTATGCATTGAAATCCTTTGTTAGTTATTTTTTAAATTTGCATTGAAATCCTTTGTTAGCTATTTTTATTGTACCGAGAATCCTTTGTTAGTTATTTTTTAGTCATGCATTGAAATCCTTTGTTAGCTATTTTTAATGTACCAAGAATTCTTTGTTGGCTATTCTTCTTATGCATTGAAATCCTTTGTTTGCTATTTTTAATGTACCAAGAATCCTTTGTTAGTAATATTTCTTCTTATGCATTGAAATCCTTTGTTTGCTATTTTTAATGTAGCAAGAATCCTTTGTTAGTAATATTTCTTCTTATGCATTGAAATCCTTTGTTTGCTATTTTTAATGTACCAAGAATCCTTTGTTAGTAATATTTCTTCTTATGCATTGAAAATCCTGTGTTGTCCTTAAGTATTTTTCTTTATATCCTTTGTTAGCGATTCTTTTAAAAATTGGGTCTTTTTTTAGTTAATTTTATTACTTTAAAATCGATTGTTTTTTATTAACAAAAATATATTAAAATTCAATGTTAGCTACTTTTATTACATAATAAAATTAATTGTCAGCTTGTTGAGAGTTTACAAAAATAATATCTCAATAAATTTTATCTTTGTCTACTCCAAAAAATGCCTTACCACGTAACGTATGCAATATGTATGTTTACCTATATATAGTATATACATTATGCATCCATTTAATAAATGTCTATATATTTTTATATATGAATATGTTTGCTTTAACTGGCCAAACGATTGGACCAAATTGGCTGAAATTTTTTAAGGAAACCCATGGGTACCCGGTACTCCGGGGGTAAATAGGCTAAACAAATTTTTTCTTAAAAATTTAAATCTTTTCAAAGTGTTTTTAAAATCCCACGGGCAACGCCGGACACATCCAGGAGGCTAGATTTTTAACGATGCATTAAAACCAATAGAAATTATTAAAAATCTTACCAATAAAAAAGGGTTTAGTACATACAAAAAAATTTCTGTGACAATTCAATATTTAGGTTTGGGACACAACTACCCATCAGGGATGGTTCAAACTCTCATGGAATTCTTACATATTGATATTGGCAAGGAAACCCACCTGTATTTAAACATAAAACATAAAACGTAAAACATAAAACGTAAAACATAAAACGTAAAACGTAAAACGTAAAACGTAAAACGTAAAACGTAAAACGTAAAACGTAAAACGTAAAACGTAAAACGTAAAACGTAAAACGTAAAACGTAAAACGTAAAACGTAAAACGTAAAACGTAAAACGTAAAACGTAAAACGTAAAACGTAAAACGTAAAACGTAAAACGTAAAACGTAAAACGTAAAACGTAAAACATAAAACATAAAACATAACATAAAACATAAAACATAAAACATAAAACATAAAAAACATAAAACATAAATGAGACAGATCTAGTTTGGTGAACAGGGTGTGGGATTAGGTTTACCCTGGTGGCAGGTTATAGGTGCAACAACTCTCACACTTCGCTTTCTTCTCTTCCCTGTCGTCGTTGTAGCACAGAGGAATATGGTTACTCTTAATAATCACCAGGTCAGTGAATTTTTAAAACTTATTTTATTTGATTTATTTGATTTGAAAAGAAAAACTTGATATAATGAACTTTATTATGAGAAATGACATGAGGTTTTCGAATATTACCAATATTCTACGTAGTAGCACAAACCGGTTTCTAAACTTTAGAATACCGTATACCATAGGACAGTTTTAATCAAGGTTGTATAATAAGGTTGATACTCTGGATGTGCTCCGATGTAGGTAAAGACGCCATTTTAGCAATGCACACTCTAAATTCTCATATGATGTCACTGCTTATTCTAAAGAATAATAAATTCACTAAATATATATAATAATCACTAAGTATAGACGAATTGATAACTTGATTTAGATTTGCATCCTTTAGTTTCAAACTTGTTAGTACAATCAATATTTGTTAAATGTGATGTTTGTTGAAAGGGACAGACCGGCTATGTAAGGTAGTTAAACTGAGTGTGCAGTGTTGTGGACAAATTCTTATTCATTTGAGATATATAAACCTTTTCCACATGTATAATCACTGAGTTTGAGTGCGTAGTCGACATTCAAAATCATGAAATTTGGTGGATACGTTTTCAGAATCGGGTTTTTTTAAATTATTAAATAACGACGACTAAAAGTAAAGTAAAAATTATACAGTAAACTAATGAGATAGTTAGGAACATATTTCTCCAAAGAAATTTGTCAATAAATCAATACTAGAATCAATTATTTCGTTTTCATCATTATATTGAATTTCTTAGTTTCTAGGAATTTATTCGTAGATTTCTACAAATTCTTCAAATGTCGTCTTTTCAATAATACTTCCAGAAAATCTGCAGAAAATCTTTGTGAAAAATAAGAGACTAGAATAATGAGAAAATGGAAACTAATAATTGAATAAGATTACTTATTTTTGATAAGAGTTAATTTTTATTTTCTCAACATGTTCCTAAACAACTAATTAGCTTACTTTAGAATTTTGTTTTCATTTTTTGTCGGATCGTTATTTAATAATTTAATAAAAAAATTCTGAAAACGTATCCATCCAGAAGTTCGATTTTGAACGTGGACTTTGCGCTCAAACTCAGGATTTACAGATCTTTAAAAAGTCTCAAATGAATTCTAAAGAATTTGTCCACAACACTGCATACTCAGTTCAACTACCTTACATAGCCGGTCTGTCCCTTTAAGTATCAGTGTATCAAGTATCAATGAGGATTTAGAATCTCCATCGCAATAAAGACGACATTTACCTACATTGGAGCGAATCCAGAGCATCTAACCTTATATCCAACCTTGGGTTAAAGAAACCGACCACTACCAGCAAGAAAGTTCAACACTATTTGGTTTGATTTGGTCCTTAATTTACACCAAACGTAAATATCGAACGATAAAATGTTTATATAATTTCTAAATACAAAAGAACTTTTTCGAGTGATTTTAAAAGATTATTTTAGCTGAAAAATGCTAGTCCCTTTTTTGGGGGTCATCCTGTATAATAATACACTTTTAGCTCAACTACTGTATCTAGCTAGTCACTCCCCTTAATATTTAATTTTATGAGTAAGTAATGTATGCGTTATGTTAAACTGATCCGCAATTTACATTTTATCATGATGTAACTGATAAAATATTTACTGTATATTGTTAAAGATATGGGTTTCTCACCAAAAATATTAAGTTCTTTTTTCTATTAGTAAGCGTACAATGGCTTTTTATAGTATTAAAATCATTAATTATTTTGCTTGTTTTTATATTTCTCCCTTTTTCCATCCAATTCTCCCAAATTGATTTGTACACTGTACGTAGAGTGGCATTTTCAATTATTGTTTTTCTTTAAGAAAATTGATAATTTTTCCTAATCTTTTCTCTTTAAACAAAACTTCCAGATATATATGCGAAGTGGATGAATAATGAAACACGCTTTGAGATAGAAAAATAATAATTTCTTCCTTGTTGCTGCTCAGATATCGGTTAAAGGGTACCGTTGTGAATTGGGTAGGAATCTTCATTTGGGTCTCTTGAAATCAGGTTCACATTCCCTTATTTCGTCATTAACATCTTGTTTTGCAGCCTCAGATTCAGAAACTACAGATTCAGCAACAAATGGCAAGTCTCAGGGGGGAAACAGATAACGCAGTGTAAGTTTTCAAATTAGTATATAGTAGGTCTCTAAATCTTATCATATTTTACAAACTTTGTTTTGTCACTTCTCAGTTATGAAAACTTTAAAACCTGACCGACATTGCAGCAGAGTCCTTTGAACTTGGTTTAACCTTGGCAGTCAATTGATATTTTTGTAGTCCTGAATATTGACGTTTTTAACGCTGTACAGTGCTTGTTTCTAGCTTCTATATATTTATATATATATATAAAGTTGTAATCTCTGTTTGCACATGTCCTATGATAACTCAAATTTTGATTGTGGAACTCGGGAGAAACACGGGAACGTTCTTTAATTGGTTTTGAGATTCTAAGTTGAATGGGTCCCCTTGTCCATCTAGCTAAATATGCCCATTAGTAAATACTTGCCTTCTTGCAATAAAACCATTCAATGTACAATATATAACTCCGTCATACCCATGTTGTGATAGCTGAACTACATAATAAATAACAGCACATAACTTGAAATTATGCTGTTAAGACCCAATTCTAATCTAATCTAGTTAATACATAAACTCCGCTTTGATTATAGTGTTAATAGCAGAAAGTCGTTGCCTTTATATTTTGCCTTGATCTATAGATCGCTACTGTCCGGTTGACATAGCAAAAAAGATCGCGTCCAGTGGGAGCGGCGTTGATAGTTCAGTATTTGGTTTTAAGATTCTAAGTTGGGTCCCCTTTCTAGGGAAAAAATAGCTAAAATTGTAATTTACGACCAAGTGCGACAAACGGAGGGGGTAACTAAAAGTACCCTGGCCATGTTAGATTGTTAATTTTTTAGTTAACTGTGTAACTTCAAAACTTCAATCAATCCAACCGTACTTGTTGATAGTGCAAATAAGGATTAACACTTTATTAAGTTGATTTTGCAATTCGCAATTACACTTTGAGGCGATACTAGAGAAAAATTTAGTTGGAAATTTAATATTATATTTATATTTAATTATTTATATATAAATCCAAAAATATATATTATCCATAGACACTGTTTCGTCCTATTAGGACTCATTAGTATTTATCAGTTTTTATTTTTTGAAGTTGACGGGGCTTGAACTACGAATCCGTAGATTATGGATCAAACATACTTACCAATGCTCCATGAAACCCTGATGATTGGGTAATGAAATAGGGACCAGAGAGTTCAACCAACTCATTATAAGTTGAGGACCGGGCATAATTCTATAAGTACACCTATTCATTACCTCAGAGTGCTCAATATATTTTTTTACCAGGTTTGCTGCAAAATGTCTGGGTAACTATATGTCAGTTCACAACTGCCACCCGGGTAAAGCTATGCTTCCTTTAGTGTTTCAGGTAAAAGATAAAAAAAATACATTATAAATTGTGTGAATATGTTTAGTTCGTCGCATTCTTGGTTTAGCATGACTTGTTTTTTAATTTAAAATATGTTTGGTTACAGGAAAATGATAAAAGCTCCAAAATGGTAGCATGGTTCAAATATATGGTCGCGCTGCAGAGAACTTTACGAGCAGATTGAAAACTAACCTAATGTTAGGCTTAATTTTATCATATTACACGGGTTTTAAGTACTCATTTTGAAAAAAGGAAAGATGCAAAATTAGAACAAAAATATCTGTACTGAAAACCCAGAGTACAGGAAAGAATTGAACCTCCGCCGTCTCGTAAAAAGGATGCCTCAAGCAACCCCCATATAACGTGATTTGATATGAATTTATAAATATTCCTCGTATCAAATTTGTATTTTCAGGCCGGTTGCTTTATGACAATGTTCTTTGGTCTGCGAGGAATGACGAATGTACCGGTTCCTTCTCTACTTACTGGAGGATTCCTCTGGTTCCACGGTAAACAATAAACATAGATTACATCAGAGGAATTCATGGCATTTCACGGCACAGTTTATCCCGCTAACCCTTTTAACTGATGTTAACAACAGCAACTAGAATGCTAGTAATGTTGTTACATACAAACTATTGAATGTATTTTTTAGATTTAAGTATGGCGGACCCCACGTATATTCTCCCTTTAATAACAACAAGTACAATATATCTACAACTATACCTGGGAGCTGATGGGTTAAATACATCTACAATGCCGGATTTGATGAAGAAGGTAAAATATTCAAGAATGGAAAATATTCTAGAGTTATATACTATACTCCTTATATTTGTAATCTGTATTCTAGTGTATTTATTCTACCCCTGATGTCTGTATTCTAGATGATGTATCCTACCCCTGATATCTGTATTCTAGATTATATAGATTCTACCCCTGATATCTGTATTCTAGATTATATATATTCTACCCCTGATATCTGTATTCTATATGATATATATACTACCCCTGATATCTGTATTCTATATGATATATATACTACCCCTGATATCTGTATTCTAGATGATATATATACTACCCCTGATATCTGTATTCTAGATGATATATATACTGCCCCTGATATCTGTATTCTAGATGATATATATACTACCCCTGATATCTGTATTCTAGATGATATATATACTACCCCTGATATCTGTATTCTAGATGATATATATACTGCCCCTGATATCTATCCCGGTGATGATCCAGTTCCCTGCAGCTTTAAACCTTTACTGGTTTTCTAACAACGTTATTTCAGTTATCCAGGCACAAATTATCAGGAAACCTTTCATATTTTTCTCATAAGAGCTCCGGAAATTATATTATTTATTTATAATGTTAAAGCAATATAAAAATGTCTATTATGACATTAATTTGACCAATATCAGAGTCCTAGAATCTTTATCTTGAATCAAACGGTTTATAATACACATTAAGAAAACCCCGATTATGAAAAGCTTTTGTGAATGTTTTTTTGAAGTCAATTTTATCAATTCGTCTTTTGATTTCATACATGTCGACACATGGTCGACACTTCACATTAATAATAGACTTTTTTGTTGTTATATTATTATGAATTAGTTGAATAAATTTTTCAGAAAGCGATAAAAAATTGATAATTTCAGTGTTTTGGTCCGAAAATAATTTATTTTTATATATGGTTATATGCCCCCCCCCCCTGCGGACGGGTATTGGGACTCCTCTAGAATTCCGTTCCTTCATCTTCAAGAATACGTGACATAAAACTTACCAATGTCTCTAATATGAGGGTTGGGTTCAGGCATCCACAGATTCGGCTTCAACTAGGTATTGGAGAAATGATTAAATGGAAACCGGAAGACTTACCAATGAAAAACTATCAGGTATGATAAGTTTGAAAAGTTGTTTCTGAATAGTCCTTCATGATATTTGGGATTGTGAAATATTCAAATGTTTCAAAATACATGATTTAAAAGTATACTTTTTTAGTTTAACACTAACAATTTCCAAATACAATAACCAATAGATAAAAGTTTTCGATACTTACTTTCTAATGCTGTTAACTTGGGCATTACATCGGATGAGAAACTGACAAGACCTTTCTTAATAAGAGGTTTACTTAGATGAAATTTATCTCACCCCCTACCACCATACGATTTTTTGTTTATTCTTAACAATCTTCGACAGTAGAATATTATGCATTTTTATGTAATATTTATGTTTACACATGACTCATACTTGCTGTTTATTGTCAGGAAAAGCTTAAATATGCCATAGTAACAGTATAAATTATTTTAGCTTTTCAATCCTTAGCTTCCCTCCATCTATTCTCGCTATTTTTAGTTCGCTACATCTCTTTTATACATCCAACTCTTAAAATATTGTTCCTTTTCAGCATTCTATGAAATCTTTATGTTACCATTGCTGAGTATTATCTTTTTTTCCATCAAAAGTTGATGATTTTATATCAAGAAAATCAAGAATCTGATATATTTATTATTTAGTGATATAAATTCAACAATTTGAGAAAGAATAAATGTTATAAATAATGTCAAACTTTGCAATTTTTATACTGTTATTACATTTATTAGAATATTAACAATGATTCAAAATATAGCAGTGAATTTATTCCTTGGCAGGCAATTTTATATTGTAAAACTAGGGAGCTTTTGGAGTGCTAACAACTATTTTCATTGAACATTTCAAATTGTTAAAACTTTACAGCGTTAGTTGCAATGTTTTATTTTTGTTAACAAGACAACTAGTTCTTGTACAGGTCTTAAAACGGCACAATCTGGTTACGTTCACTTTGTTATGACAAATGGAATTTTTAACTAGAAAAAGTTTGGTTTTGATAAAATTTTGATATTTTAATTATAATTCCTAATATTAGGAGGAGATACAACGTGAGATGCAAATACAGAAGAAGAAGCGAGATAAACTGGAAGCAACGAAGAAACGTGAGAAGGAGGAGAGGTTAGAACGTGAGCTACGGAAGAGGGAGGAGCTCTTAGCTGCTCTAGAAGCAGAGGACAACAAGATGAAAGAGACAGAACGTACCAAAGACAACAGAACAAAATAAATTGATAAATTTTCAGAAATATGGTCTGAGAAACCGTCAAGCATTACTTTAATACAGCAACATGTTCAGAGGTAGCCTTGAACAATAATTTATTATTATAGTTTAATATTTCATTTAGTTTGTTAGTTAATTTAGTTAAGTTGTTGTTGAATCAATGTATTTCTCTTATTGACCTACTAAGGCGGTATGTTCTGACCGGAATGAAGTCGCCAAAGCCATGAATCCTGCAAAGTGGGGAATATGTGCTGTGGGAACAGTTCTTTCCCTTATTATAGTTCAGGTACTTAAGTTAGTCTTAAAACTTAAAGTAGGAATGTTTCACATTTCTGCTTTACTCGGAGGCACAATAATTTTTTCTGTGGTTAGGGATGTATGGTTGTTATTGTAATTACAATTTTTGATTTTCATACTGTATATTTACGTCAAAACTTTATCAAATTGAGATTAGGAGATGGACATCTATGAATTATAGAAAAGGCTGAACTAGTTTCAGTTTCTTTAATTACTTATTCTACAATAAGTGAAACAAAATTCGTGATTTTTCCTTACCTTTATTGGTTCTCCGGCCAATGAGAAAGTTCAGAGACGAAAGAAAGTATTTAATTCAACAGGCTGTGCAGTTAAAAGCTTTCAAATTAAACAGCTTTTATAACGTTTTTAACTCTAGTCGAGTTGTTCGTTTTAAATTGTATTTAATTATTTTGTAAAAAGGGTTTTTGAGTTTTTCTCGAAGACAGCGTTACAGAATATTATTCATTTTTAACACGCTTCATCACACAATTTACGCCCAAGTATGAAAGGTGTTGAAATACTTTTTTATTTATTTGATTTGAAACCTTGTATTTAGATCAAATGTGATGTGATAGTTGAAACGGCAGAAACACGTCGTCCTTTCAGAATATACGAGGATCAAGCAGCCAGGTAACTAGATAGTTAGATAGTTGAGACGGCAGAAACACGTCGTCCTTTAAGAATATACGAGGATCAAGCAGCCAGGTAACTAGATAGTTAGATAGTTGAGACGGCAGAAACACGTCATCCTTTCAGAATATACGAGGATCAAGCAGCCAGGTAACTAGATAGATAGTTGAGACGGCAGAAACACGTCGTCCTTTCAGAATATACGAGGATCAAGCAGCCAGGTAACTAGATAGATAGATAAATAGTTTAGCTAGTTAGATGAATATATATAGCTAGTAAAACAGATATAAATAGAGTTGTCCTGAAGATTGTGAAAACAAGAAATATTATGAAGGCAATAGATATTTGTAAAAATATGAAAATACTGTTAAATTAGGATAGATAGCCATGTATTTAAATATATATATTACACGCCTAGTTGCTATTTAAAAGTTAAAGCTCAGACGTGTATGTATTGTATGTACATGATAAGAGATGTGATGAAAAAAACGACCTTCAGAATATTCACGTGAATATTCACGTCACTATCAAAACCATATCACATTCGCCCAACTATTTTTCTTAATACAATTACTTCATTCTGCGAATTGCCCCCCCCCCCCCCATTCAGCGGGAGGGGGTAGGAACAAAGCAAAAAAACATATCAAACTTTTAGGTAAATAAAAATTGAAAATTCTTCCTTTTGTCATAGGTTTTCCAAAAACCTAATGATAAAATATAAATCCGGAAAAAATGTAAATTTGATTTAGCATGGTAAAATTCGGAAAAATGTAGATTTGATTTAGCATGGTAAAATCCGGAAAATTTGATTTAGCATGGTAAAAGTATTCATTAAATGTGGTTCTTAATTTTTTATATTCCATGTTTTAAAGATGATGTAAATTATCCTATTCAACACATTCAACCATAAAAATATATTTCTTTTTTGTGAATACTGTTTTACTTTATGATTTACTCTGGATAATATTAAAATTAAAGTACAACATAACAGTATTCATAAAAATCATCTTATCTACCCTCCAGAATTCTATACACGTCTACTGGAAACTAAACGTCATTCTATATAGATAGGATGATAGGTAGGTTACTAATTATAAAGCAAATTAAGTCAAGTTATTAAGGGATGATAAAAAAATTACTTTTTGCGGTTTGTCGATTGTTTTGATATTATTTTAATTTAACTTTATAGGTTCGGTGACTCTTTGCCTGCAGATGGGTTAGTAGGCGTGGCTGTCGTTGCAGAACCCTCCCATGGGTGTGGACCAATTAAACCACCCCCTGACACCAAGCTACCCCATAATGTATTCTGGATTGTTATGATAAAGAGAAGCATTCCAGGGACTGGGAACAGTACAGAGTGCACATTTCAGGTATGGGACGCACATTTCAGGTATGGGACGCACATTTCAAGAATTTGGGACATACCAAACATTTGCTAATTATCATTTAGCATAATACCGACAGTATTAACAACTTAGGACTTACAAGTGAACCCTTGTCGGAATCTTTAGATTAGAAAAATTCTTCTCCGTTTCAATGTGTTGTAAATCCTGACTTGTAATTTATAAGATTTTGCAGAAAGATTTAGATTAACCCATGGGGTGGGAAATAAACGGATTTACGATTTAGATTTAATTATACTAAAGTTCCGGCCTCTAGAATCGTTAAGCTTATTTTGTCTAACTTAATGTATTCTTTATTGTTAAATTGGAAGTAACCCATCAAAGTACAACCTATATAAATTTTTTAACAAATCTAAGCAATTTGTGTAGTGATCGATAATTTAAATTTATCTTAATTCAAGCTTCTATGGCAATTAACGCCAGAGACGAGCAGTTTTTTTTGCCGATTTACTTCAAGATTTTGCAATATTTTCATTTTTTAGGAAAAGGTTGAGAATGCCCAGGCAGCTCACTACTCTGGAGTTATTGTGTACAATTATAAAAATGATGAGCTCATCCCTATGGGTAAGCACATGCTTATTGCTTAAATACAAATGAATAATTAGATAATTCATGAAACACGATTATTTTATTTTTAATGTATTTCCAGGCGGAGACGCAGAGGTGTTAATTCCTTCAGTATTCATTGGTAGATCAGACGCAGAGAAGATTATCAAACAGTTCTCATTTCCTAATTTGGACTTTGTTCTTAAACTCACGGAGAACGCGCCTTTTGATATTAATACATACCTTCTTCCCTTTGCTATAGTAGTTGGGATATGCTTTATAATTATGTTGGGAATTATGGTGTTTAAGTGTATACAAGACAGGAGGCGGGAGCGCAGGCACAGACTTCCTAAATCATCGCTTAAGAAAATTCCGACCAAGGTAGTAAAAAAGTTTTTTATGGCGGGTTGTTTAAAAAAAGAAATAGAGAATATAAATCTAGTGAATATATTTTAAGAAATTTCAAGCTGGAGACGAGGTTCGGTATGAAACCTGCTGCATCTGCTTGGATGATTATGTTCTGGGGGATAAATTAAGGATCCTTCCCTGTGACCACGCCTACCACATTAAGTGCATAGATCCTTGGCTTCTTAAAAACAAACGAGTTTGTCCACAGTGTAGGTTAGTAGATTAGATTTATTAACATTATATACTACCTACAATTACATAATACATATATCCTACGCCTTGCACATAACATTATCATTGAACGTGTCATGTAATTGCTAACTCATCAATTTTAATATTTCTGTTGAGGAGTTTATTCCTATGCATCATGTTTTTAACCACTGATTTCTGTAATTTTTATTATTTTTATTTTCTAATTAAGATTATATCCAGGAAGAAGGTGTTTGCAAATGGTGAAGTTCCCCCCAGTGACTCTGAGTCTGAGACAGAAGACGAGCGCGCTCCACTGCTTGCACGTCCTCGTGTAACACAGAGCGGGACTTTTTCTACACAAAATGAGAATCCGTTCCGTCGAGCAGCTCGGAGACTGGCAAGAGCTGGAGGCCCTTCACCCCAGAGGTGGGAAATTATTACTTTTTAAACTTTTTAGACAAAAATGTGGATAATAGTATCAAAAAGTGTCAACTTATAAAAAACTTTTTTCGTTTTTTTTCCAAAGGTCTGATAATATTGGATTGTGTTGTGAAATAATTTTTTTGATTTAGTTCTCGAGGTGAGTCCCCAGCTGGAGGAAGCTCTGATTCGAGTAGCACTGAAGGAGGAGAGTCTGGTAGGAACCAACATATTGCAGAGGTTTATGTTGAGGAGCACCCTAGGGTAGGTTCTATCTTGCATTTACCACGTACAAATAGTTTCACAGATTAATATTTTATTAACAGATAGATGTATAAAAGACCTATCACAAAAAAATTTTGAAGCACAGGGTAGGGTAGAGGACGGTTAAACGGCTGGTCGGTGTTACAAAAGAATCTAAAATATTTTTTTGAAAAGCCATTGTAACGGATGTGTCGCACTTCAATAGTTGTTCAAGTATCGTTTTTGTATTCCTAAATTTTGTTTATTATTCTTGCTTCTGAAAGAATATGATTATCTTTTGAAAAGGAAAATGAAACAATGGTAATTTTTCTTCTAGATTTCATGATCTTAGTTTATTCTTTTACGAAGGTTGTAGGCATAAGTTAAAGAATATATTAAGACTATTTCAAGGAATAAAATTCCATTATTACGTTTTTGCTACAAAGGTTAATACTATAGAGGTCGAGAGGGCGGTCTCTATTAAACGAGGCTAGGCTGGACTCAGTGTATATGTTTTCTCCTTAATATAACATAACTCTAAAAAAATACTTTAAATCACATGAGTCTACTCTATCTATATTTGGTTTGGCGAATCTCCAGAGGACAGAAGCTGTGGAAATATCGTCTTCCACAATACAAACCATAATTGATTTTCATAAGTAGCATTGAATATAATTCTTTCTCTAGTAAGAAAATCTCCATTTTTTAGCGTGAAATAAAATGCTTTCATTCAGACCCATAGCTTGTTAATTAATGCTTTCTTGCGCTGTAAATTTGTAAAAGTGTGAATTTTCTGGACTATTAAAAATGGTAATTATATAGAATAGGGCCTATATTTACTCCGTATTACAATGACAGATGTAATTAAACTTCCGCTGTTAGATTTGAAATGCTTTATTTTTATAAATCTCTTTTCGTTGTTTTGCAGACCGAATGGTACCCATGGATAGTACACCCTTCGGGGACGAGGAGCTTTGACTCCTTTTTCAATGAATGATGAGTTAATGCTAATAATAATAATGATAATATATTAAAATAATTGTATTTTTTTAATCGCTAAAACTTGTATTTCAGGATATAGTTCATGTTTTCCATCAACACCAGTTAGTCCGCGTAGAAGACCAAGCTGACGGACCTGTCGATGAATCTGTAGAAAACGATGACGGTGTTGATGATGAAGATAGCAATGATGAATACCATCCTTCAGATCCGGTTGTTTAGATTTTAAAGTTGCTCTGGACCATAACATGTGTAATGTGAATAGTACATGGATGCAAACTTCTCGCGTATTTCAGCAGAGATAATCTTTATTAATGATAAAGTGTTGCCTACGAATCAGGCAAGCTACTGGGGACTAACCTAAAGCTTTTCTTCTGAAATTTTCTTTATAATAATTCAAGTTGTCGTTATAACAGAGACTTAAATCAACTTATGAATATTTCTGTTTTGTACCGGTTTCATCTAGCAACATAATTTCCGGTTTTCTTTTAATGAAAAATGACCTTATTATTATTCTCTTAGCTGTTTAAATCATTTAAATCTATAATAATAAAACTGTTGCAAGGCATTATTTCAACAAATAGATTTCTTTTGTGAATTTTTAAAAATTTTGTTCTCATAGATATATATATATTATATTATATATTAATCCTATTCATCCCGTTAGTCGGAAATTTTCTTTTTTAACTGTTTTGTTTGTTTTCCAACTAAAATGAACTAAAAATGTATAAAGTGAATAAATAAATGCTTGTATATTTAGTATATAATAGTTTACATGTTTATGTAGAAATTTTTGAGTATCGTAATTCGTGTTAATTTTTTCGTTAATTTTTGTTTTATAAAAAGAATTGTTCTTTACAAGTTAAGAAGAAATTGACCTCAAGATATCGTTATCCATTTAATAGTAACTCATTTTTCCATCATCTTCATAGTTCTAGCTACTTTGCAATCAAATATTTACAGAGAAAATGATATGAAATATAATCCTGGTAGTTCAGTTATAGAAAGTATTCCAGGTAAGTTGATAAATTCAACCGCGCTTATTTATCAAGTGAAAGTTAGATTTGATGTGACCAGTGACCACTAAACCCCTGAGTCGAGTATCTTTTTGTTAATCTTAGTTTCATGGTAAACATACATTGAGATGGGTATACAGGAATTGAGTCTTTTTTACAAACTCAAATTTTCTAATCCCTATTTATATCTTTGCAATCTGATGATGTAAACCTGTGATATTTTAAACTTAGGTTATTTGATCTAACAAAATGCATAGTTAGAAATATACAAGTTCTACGACATTGGGTTGCAAAGATAAAGGGATTTTAAAATCAGAGCTTGTTGCAAACGCAATTCCTTTTTATGAATTATTGTCTGTTCCAAATTTGTTTTTTCCTAACACACTACGCGATTGCGCAGTGCTTAAAATATTTTGATGAATTAATAAACTCAGAATAAAGTAATTTAACAAAGTTTTAGTGTTCTATTAGCGTTAGGCCTATATTTGTGTCAGGTTGTTTGCATTTTCGTAAATATATCTTGCTATGGCAAGTTTTTTTGCCTTATTTGTTAAAGTCCTAGTCCATACGGTTTTTAAACTAAAATGATCTGACATTTCACATGACCTCTCAAATGCTCGTCTTTGTCGCCTCTTAATTAGTTTTTTTTCAATGAAATCTTGAATTTAGTAGTAAAGAAAGCATTTAGTGATTGACTGATAAATAATCTTCAATGTAAAAAAAACTCATATTTCTTAGATGAACACTCCACGTGTATGGATCGGAGGATGGAGGCAGGTGGAGCATCTAGATCCAACGAAAGCGCATACAGGTAAAAAGAACTAAATAGAAATCAATACAACACACATGTATTATAAGGGACTTTTTTTAAGATAAGATACGAGCCTTTGTTAATTGTACAAGAAAAAACGCAAAAATCCGTTTATGGAAATCAGGGCTAAATAGTTGCAATTAAACATAGCTAACATTTTACTGTAAATGTTAAATCATAAAGGATAGTTTAATACTAGTAAACTTCCTCGCATATTTTACATATCAAAATCTGCAGATCAAAGTTTGTGAAATTCAATGAAGGTTAAATTATTTCTTTCGATGTCCAAATACTCAAAATAAAATTTTAAGTTTTCCTTTCTACATATATTAATTACTAGGCTTTAAGGGCGCTTGGCGACCATCTTCTATTTCAACTTTTGATTGTGGCTTTATCTGTGAGCTTCTTCTCTTTGTACAGTAAAAAGACTTGCGGATTTCATTATATTTTTTTACGCATTTTCAAAATTTTACAAAAATAAAAACTTTAAAACACAAATTTTTAAAATTTTTATCATTCATAAACCTTCCCTGGGGTCACATGAGGTCTCTCAAAAAAATTGAGCCCGATCGGTTCAGCCGTTTTTACGTTTATTGGATACAAATAGACAGACAGACAAGAACATGTATATAATAGTGTAAATATTTGAAAATGGGAGTAAAGAGGGGCATGTCCGATTCACAACGGTTCTCTTAAATCCCTTGTCTGATCATCGACGGCAGAGCAAACCGTGTGTTTATCTCTAAAATGGTGTTCTGATTACCGGAAAGCTGTGCACAGCTTTCCGGTTCCATGTTTCAATAACTTAAATGAAAAATTATTTTTGGCAACCTCTAGACAGTAAATGATAAAATGTTTTAAACAAAGCAGCTTCGAAACAAAGTATCAACAAGTACTGGCGTTACTGTAGATAAATCAGGATAAGTCCGTCCTCCTTGGACCAGTCAAAGTATCAACAAGTACTGGCGTTACTGTAGATAAATCAGGATAAGTCCGTCCTCCTTGGACCAGTCAAAGTATCAACAAGTACTGGCTGGTTACTGTAGATAAATCAGGATAAGTCTGTCCTCCTTGGACCAGTCAAAGTATCAACAAGTACTGGCTGGTTACTGTAGATAAATCAGGATAAGTCCGTCCTCCTTGGACCAGGCAAAGTATCAACAAGTACTGGCTGGTTACTGTAGATAAATCAGGAGAAGTCCCAGGCAAAGTATCAACAAGTACTGGCTGGTTACTGTAGATAAATCAGGAGAAGTCCGTCCTCCTTGGACCAGGCAAAGTATCAACAAGTACTGGCGTTACTGTAGATAAATCAGGATAAGTCCGTCCTCCTTGGACCAGGCAAAGGGCTAATGTTGTAAATTGGACGCATCACTCTACAAAAATAGAAGGTCTCTTGAAATTACGCATACAGTCCATTAACAGTTTTTTTTTCAACTGGTGACATAACATATTATGGATTCTTACTGAACTGAACAGACTACGCGTATGATAATAAAAACTAACAAGGAGGTAGTGTATAAAAGTACTGATAAGAATGTATGTTTATTTACACATATACAGTGTACACACATTCAGTTTATCATCAACTAGTGGCTTTATATACAAGAGCGGTCCGTATAAGAATATGGAATAAAAGAGTAATGTGTTACCATGTGTTACCATGTGTTAAAATAGTTCAATTAAAAACTAAACCTTGTACAAGGCAACTTCACAATGTTTTTTAGACTTAATGAAATAATTTTAAATATACAGCAGTATACAATTAAGGTCGAGATTGATCCATGGCGTATTAATATTTTGTTTCATTCTTCCAAATATTAAGTTAGTTTTCTTACCACCCGAGTTAGTTTACTTAACTGGTAATTTATATTTGCCGTAAAAAAATAATTTTTATTATTATTATTATTATTATTATTATTATTATTATTGTTGTTGTTGTTATTTGTTGTTATTATTGTTGTTATTCTCATTGTCATTGTCAGTGTCATTGTCATTGTCATTGTCATTGGCATTGTTATTTGAATTATTGTTATTATTATATTATATTTCAGTTTACCAAGTTGAGGTCACTACATCCTCTGGTAGTTATACAAGAGTGGAGAGAAGGTATTCAGCATTCCTGTCCTTACACAAGGTATATTAAATAATGGAAACATTTGAGATAAATTTTTCTCTCTACCTGTTTTGTTTTTATCTCAGCTTTAAATCCAAGTTCTGTCAAAAATAGTTTTTATAATCAAATCAATGAAATGGTTAAAAAGTTAGTTAAAACCTGATTTAGGATTGTCGGAAGTATTATTGCACTGAACCCTTTCCTCCTAAACGAATCAGGAATACAACTGCACGTGTACTGGAGTCTAGAAGAGCAGGACTAGAACACTATATTCAATCTCTCGCCAAGTTACGCCCTACTCCACCTCAGCTCGCAGCATTCCTCCAGCTACCCTCCCTCGGGGACTCGGATCAGGCGGACTACCACGCCACTGTTATTGGGTTCATTAAAGATCCATATCTTGAAGATACGCCTCCTATCCTAGAAGATATGATTACGCAAGGTAGTTATTTTTCAAATCTGTGCTGAAAATTCATTACTCACAAAATGAGAAAATTAAGTTACTTTAGATTTTTAAATTATTTTTTATTTAGATTGTTACCTATGAAATGTACTCGATATCTTTTTATGTCTACAGAATTTATGTTTTATAATATTATATTTCAGCGAGTGTATGTGCCTTCTATGATAGTTAAAACAATCTAGACAACGACGTAAATTCTGCAATGGGCAAAATCTTTGTACACATTTATACAACTCGATGAACCTTGAAAAAATTGATAAAAATGTATTATACTGTTAAAAAAAATTGAACCAATACTGTTAAAGAAAAGTGATTTTATTGATCTCGTATTACTGCCCTGCTCCTGATAGGTGTAAAAAAAGTGAAGGTCACTCTTCACAAGCTCTCCAGATTACAAATAAACCCAAGGAGGGATCTCAACAAATGTTTTGAATAAATACGAGAAGTGAAGATCTGTTAATAGTGTAATTGACAGTAGTAAGCTGGAAGAAAGAAGATGAACACTAAGCGTCGGCAATTCATCAACTTTTCCCTAGTTTGGTTGGCATACTGCTCAACTTACTTTATAAGAAAAGTAAATATCTTTCTATTAAAGTGACTGTAGACGTAATTTCAAGTGATCCCCATCTGCAGAGTGGCGTGTCTGATTTACAACAGTCCCATTTTAACCTTTGACTGCTAACGGACTATTTCTTATTTCTCTACAGCAATGCTCTTATTTGTTGACAATTTTGTCTGCTAGCTGTTTTATAATAAAGACATACTAATAATTATTACAGAAGTCGTAAAAATGGATGTTGGTTGCGTCGAGTACAAACTGTACTTTAGTGTACGCTCCAGTTTTCGGCAATTTATAAACACGAGATTCCTCTTTATTTTCAGTCAAGGTTTATAGGGTACCGTTGTAAATCAGGCATTCCCTCTTATCATAGGTGTGATCACTTGAAATTACGATTACAGTTCCTTGAACAATTTAAACATATTTATAACAACAAACGTTTAAAAATAATTTTTAAGAATAGAGAAAACAAATTTGTTAAGCCGCTAGGCGTGGTGAAGACTGTGCTAGGGATGGAGTTGGGTCTCAATATGTCTGAGTTGGGTTGGTTAGATGTTGCAGCTATACTACCGTATGCAGCTGTACAGATAGGTCAGTTAGTTACCTTGTCTCACACAAATACAGTAGTTTATTTAATTTTTAGAAACATTTAGTCTTTAATCTGTTTTTATTACAAATACATAACCTAATGATTAATTTGGTTTTATATCTTATATTTAATTTGCTTTACATTTTCAATGTATTGTTTTCTTTTTTATCAATTTATTTTTTTAAGTTTTTCATAAAAGATAAACACAAAATCGATAAAAAAAATTTAACAGAAAAGTGCCTGATTTAACAGAATTAATTCCCTATAAAACTTTTTCCCAACCACTCCGCCTCCGCCCCCCCCCCCCCCCCCCCCAAGCCGTCACGAGAAATAAAAACTGAGTATTCTTAGTTTAAAAGTTTTTTCTTTGGTTTTAAAATGAATTCAAACTAGATATCATTTATAGCAAAGTAAATGAATACTCGCCACAAATTATTAGCCTTAGTTTGAAATAGCCAAGGTTTATTTACACTGCTAGAAATAGAAATAAGAAACTTATTAAAGTAATAAAATTCAGTCAAATTGTTAGAAAGTGTTTTCGAATGAAGAAATAATCAATATTTCTGAAGAAAATAAAATTTAGGATATCCTGGATTGTCTAGCAAATATGGAGCCCAAATCACACTACGAATTTGCTTAGTCGGAGCCGCTGTATCTTCAGTTTTTTCGTCTTTAGTCTCATCATTCTCTACTCTTGTTCTCGCTCTTCTTTTTACTGGTAATTCACATTCTTTTTTCCTAACTTAACCTTTCCTACCTACATTTCATTTTTCCTTCCCTCATTAATTACCTTTCCCTTTCCTTCCTTTCCGTTTCCCCATCTATCTCTATCCTTACCTTCCACTTTCTTATTCCCTTTCCTTTTCACTTTCCATCTATAGTCTCCTTTCATTTATTTTCCTCATTTTGATTTCTGAATACACCCTCAGAAATTAAACGCAAATAAGGCTTAATTTTTTAACCAAAAAGGTTTGACCCTTGTAAACTTTATTGCATTTTGATAACATTTTACAAAAAATTAAATATATGTAATGTTTGTTTACAGGAGTATTCTTGGCTCCCTGCTGGCCAGCCTGTTCTCTTCTTCTCTCCACCTGGTTTCCTAGTTCCAAGCACAACTTTGTGTTTGGTCTGATAAATACCGCAACATATTCAGGGGGGTTAGGAGGAACAGCTCTGGCAACTGCACTTCTTCAATATTCAGGTTAGTCCCGCCGTACACACACAGTGCACAGAAATAAATTTAGGGGAGCAAATATGCGCGAAGCGCGAACATTTTTTTTTGCTCCCTCCCCCCCCCCCTTAGGAGCTGCTGGGGGGGATTTGAACTGTAGATTCAAAACATTTGGCTTCTTGGGTACTTTAAAGTTTCACATGCAGTCCAAATACCTTGCAAGTACTACTTTATTTCTCTTTCACACAAAACTAGCAGAAAAAAACAGCAGACTAATTTTTTCATCCTCTTCACTCTTCAGTTTCAGATTGGAAAAGTGATATTGCTCTGAGTTCCAGGAGGAGTAACGCCCCCCCCCCCCCCCCCCCTCTTTATAGGTCTAAGGGTAATGAGTTTAAGAGTGCATTAAAAGTTGTAAAACTCAAAATTTTGCGGATTTTTTTCTAAACATTTTTAATTTTTTACATTCTCCGGGGTCTTGTGAGTTGCCAACAAAAATCTGGGCTTGATCCGTTCAGCCGTTTGTCGTGTATTAGATTAAAAAAAACGGATAAGCAAATAATTTATATAGATATATTAGTATAAAGAAGAAATATGAAAAAACAATAATGTTAAACTGAGTTTGTTTGACTATGGTTAATGACATTTTAAATTTCAGGTTGGAGATCAGTATTTCTAGCTCCAGCACTTCTAGCAGTTCTAGTCTCAGTATTTCTCCTTTGCATTTTACCAATACAGTCAGAAAATATTGTAAGTAAATATTGCAATATAGTTTTACATAAAAGATTGTTAACTAAACATTTACCTTATTGGTTTTGAATCTCTAGGTTCGAGTTTCAGCATCAGGTGAGAAGCTGAGTTCTTCTCTTGGTTCTAATTCTAACCAACCTTCTCTTGTAAAAATACCAGCTGTCAGAGAGTTATGCATCTGCATGTTTTGTCTGAAGTTTGTTCGCTACTTCATGTACATGTGGTTACCCCTATACCTGGTTCAACACCTGGAGTACTCTGCTCTTCAAGCTGGATTCATGTCAACTCTCTTCGATATCGGAGGAATAAAAGAATTATGAATTTATTAGTTAATAATCGGCAGCTATAAAACATTTATTATTCTGAGATTATTTTTAATATAGAGGAGGAGAGGTGGCAATTGTATTCTTTCTCGTCTATATTTTTTTCAATCAATTGTCATTTAACTAATTTAATTTTTATTTTCTATAAAAAAAATTTCATGATTATTATTTTTTTTAGAATTCTTTACCGAACTTTTAGGAATATTTGGAAGTCCACTCCTAGGAATACTGTTAGACAAGTGGTTCTCCCACGCTCCCATGAAACCCGTGTCTATAGTTATGATGGCAGGTACTTAAAGGGAGTGACCGGCTATGTAAGGTAGTTGAACTGAGTATGCAGTGTTGTGTAAAGCTTCTTTCGGATTCATTTGAGACATCTTAAACGTTTTAAAGATCTGTAAATCCTGAGTTTGAGCGCAAATTCGATGTTCAAAACTTCTACTTTGGGGTGGATACGTTTTCAGAATTTTTTTTTTAATTATTAAATAACGACGACATAAAATGTAAAAAAGTTCTACAATTGACTACAGACGTCATGTATAGGAACATGTTGAGAAAATAAAAATTAATCTTACCATCGAAAATAAGTAATCTTGTTCTTAGTTTCTTTTATCTGATTATTCTGGTTTCTCATTATTCACAAAGATTTTCGCAGATTTTCTAGAATTACTATTGAAAAGACGACATTTGAAGAATTTGAAGAAATCTGAAAATAAATTCAAAGAAAATTATAAATTCAATATAATAATGAAAACGAAATAATCGATTTGAGCATTGATTGATATGTTCCTAACCATCTAATTAGACTACTGTATAATTTTTACTGTATTTTTCGTTGTAGTAATTTAATAATTTAAAAAAAAACTAATTCTGAAGACATATCCACCTCCAAAGTAGGAGTTTTGAACGTCGAATTTGCGCTCAAACTCAGGATTTACAGATCTTTAAAAAGTTTAATATGCCTCGAATGAATCCGAAAGAAGCTTTCCACAACACTGCATACTCAGTTCAACTACCTTACATAGCCGGTCACTCCCTTTAATTAACTTAAGGGACTGTTTACGTAGATTTAAACAGTGAAAAAGTATTTTATTCTGACAATTCTCTTTGATTAAGAACCCATTTTTAGATATAAAAAGAAGGATAACTTCATTATTCTTTTTCAAGCTCGAAGGTTTAAAGGGTGACTTTTTTAATCTGGCATGCTCTCTTTAATTAAAGGGGCACTTGAAATATTTTTAAAAAAATTATTCTGCATTTTAATTCTAGCGTAAAACTGTTGTGATTGTCAGATCAAATCGTTAAGGATTACTTTGTAAGATTGGCTGAGTACAGGTTATCCTGCAAAAATCTTACGAAATAATTTCAATTCAACATTCTGAATACCATGTACCACCTGTGTTATCTTGTACTTTACACGTACATACAGTGAAACCATTAATAACGAATACATCTGAAGAATTTATCAAATGTCGTCTTGACAATTTTTCAATGAGTTTTATACTATATTACGTAAATTTCAGTATTTGCGAAAATAAATAAATAGCCATGAATATGCGGGAACAGTTTTAAAGAGCTTCATATAATCATTTAATTAAAAAACTAAATTTCTGCAACATTCCATTATCAGAAAGTAAAGAATACGACATTTGATAAATTCTTTCGATGTATTCTTTATTAAGGGTTTCACTGTAGTAAAATGTAAACAGGGATAATCATTAAAAAGGCGTTTCAGTTCTTTCTTTTTATAAGAAATAGTCCAATACCGCAGAGGAATTAGTTATTTTTAAATATTATAAATGAGAAATCTCCGCCAAAGGAATTAAGTCTTTGCCACAAACACAGATTTTTAAATCCCAATTTCTTTAAAACCAAATGTCGTAGACCGCAGATATTTCAAACTATGAATTCTGGTGGATAAAACAATTTAAGTTTGAAATATGAAAGGTATGCATCATCTGGTTGATGAGATTTAGGTATTATAAAATTGGGATTTGTGGCAAAAACTCAATTCCTTTTACAAAGAAGATTTGCAGAGATATTACGGTTATATACTACAACAGGAAAAAAGCCACGAAAAGATTTCTAGAAATTAACACGACAATTATTTCTCTTCTTTTATGTTATTCCTCTGTGATTTGATTACCTGAATTTATTTATTTGAATTCTATATTTTCTCAGGTGTTTTATCTCTAGCTCTCTTCATCATAACTTCAACCTGGGGACGATTATTCAACGGTAAATATTGTCATTTTGTGAGGCAGGGTTTTATTAATTATTAAAAAATAAAAATATGGATTTCTCTCAGAGTAAAATTAGTTCATATCTATTAAACTTTTTTCTGTTCTCCCATACCCAGTGGACAATTCGAATTATTTATTTAAAAGTTCTTCCCGCATAGAACAAGCGACGCTGTTTTAGAGTCTGAAAACGACCCGCACGACCCCAAAAACGGGCGCCGGCCCGACTCTATTTTAGTACTAATAAGAGAGTCGTTTTTAGACCGAAAAGACCCTGAATCCGTCTCTCCTCAAAACGGATGGGTGTCGGGTTTCTGTCACGGCAGGGGGCCATTATCTC